ATTTCAAGGAATTATGGAGCCCCCCCCCCTCCACCTCAAACTTGAAAATTTTTTTGGAGCACCCCCTCCAACCTGAAAAATTATGGAGCTAGTAATCGAATCCAGAATTATGGAGCTATGTTTAATTTTAGGAGAGACATAACCTTCTACTTTGTTAGTTAGATTACATTTAAGGAAATAGAATGTATTTAAAGGATTAGAGATTTTAGGAGCATTTTTAAGAATTTAAGGACTAACGAGGATCAGAGGATTAAAAGGATTAAAGGTCTAAAGTGGATTATTGAGGATTTGAGGACTAAAGAGGATCAGAAAATTATGAGGATTGGAGGTTTAATAAGGATTAAAGGTTGCAAAAGGATCGGAGATTGCAGAAGGATCGTAGGTTACAGAAGGATTAGAGTTTGAATAGATTGGAAATTAAAAAGGATTGGAGGTTGAAGAAGGATTGGAGATTGAAGAAGGATTGGAGGTTAAAGAAGAATTGGAGGTTAAAGATGGATTGGAGGTTATGGTAAATTCGGGGTAGAAGCAGTAAATCAGGATCCAGGGGCTTGAGAGAGATTTAAAGTAGGGGTGAGTAAGGGGGGGATAATTATGAGAATATGTCTATAATTTCACGCTTTATGATTAGAAAAATCTGAAACTAATTAGATTGAACTTTTAGATAATTTTTTGTTATAAATAATACTATATATGGACAGGATGCACAACAAACACTTTTTTTACGAGTACGTAGATCTCATGTCGAAGTACACTTCTAACTTTTGTTGTTGAAAATTTCATATTATTCAATATCAATGACAGATTTCTAGAACTTGAGCAAACATAAATCAGAACTTGCTTGACTTCAGTCGATGTAAAACTGTTGAATATATCTCATCCAAGGTTTTTTATTTATGATTGGTAGATACTCTAAATAGTAAATGAAGGTTTTTTATTTATGATTGGTAGATACTCTAAATAGTTAATGAAGTAAAACTATCCATAACTGTGGAATCATGTGGGAAATCAAGGGAAGTTGGAGGGAAGGCTAAACATGAGAATCCAGGAGGGACGGTAAATGTGGGAAACTGGGGAAGGGGGGGGGGAGTTTAGTGGCAGAAGAACAAATGAACAATGACATGAACATTATATTATGTAAGAGTGACGGGGGGGGGGAACAAGGGGAATCGATAAAATAGAAAAAGATCTAGTAAAAAAGGGAAGTTAAAACGAAAGAGATATCAATGGAGAGTCAGGAAGAAGGAAGTTGAGGAAAAGAAATGGTGTGAATTGTAGGAGGTTATAAAAGGAGTTTAAGGAGTGGAAGGGAAGTATTAAATATTGGGGAAGGTGGAGGGGGGTATAGGCCTGGGAGAGGATAATTCCGGATTTAAATTTCAAGCAAAAACTGTGAAGTGGGCGTTGTAGAAAAAATTGTATAATAAAAAGATAAAGATTCTGAGGTTTTCACTAAATTAAAACTAGACGGGCATGTTTCGCATTTATATCGACTAAGAATAAAAAATCAACGGTTTGAAAAAACAACCGGAAATGGGAAGTGCCAAGACCGGATATGGGAAGGAAGCTTCAACCGTCCTGGCGCATTAAAATGTAATTAAACAATTTTATCATAAATATGAGGGAAAATCATTTTTTTGTCTTACATAGTTTTTATTATCATGCTGCAGAAACGCTTTTGTTTACTTATGAGAAGCAAAGTTTATTTTGGATTTTACAGCAGGTGTAAAATTAAAAAAAACAGATTATCACAAACAAAAAATTTCAAGTCAAATACATGCTATGCAAAACGTATGATGAATGATATATTTGAAGGTTGCAATGCTTGATGCATGATGCATGATCTATTTGAAAGTTGCAACGCTTGATGCATTATCTATTTGAATGTTGCAGATGCATGATGCATGATCTATTAGAAGGTTGCAATGCTTGATGCATTATCCATTAGAATGTTGCAGGATTTACGATCTATTTGAATGTTGCAGATGCATGATGCGTCACGGCTCACGGTTAGGGATTGTTCCAGAAGAAATATGCGTCATGTTAATTTAGAAAGTAAAATTATACTTCTTAAAATTCCCCTCCGCCTCGCTACATGCAGATACACATATAGTATTTTTAAAATTTGTAATCCTTTTACAGAATAAACACAATATTTATAAATTTACAATTAAGTCATTATAACAAAAAAAATTAAATTTATAGAATTCAAGAATGTTTTTCTTCCGTTTTTTTTTATCAAAGAATTCAATATCTATGTAAACATTACATTTTATTAAATATGAAATAGACAATATCTTTGTAAACATTACAATTTAATAAATATGAAATAAACAATATCTACGTAAACATTACAAATTAATAAATATCAAATATAAACATAAATGTAAACATTACAATTCAATAAATATGAAATATAAACATATATGTAAACATTACAATTTAATTCAATAATAAATATAAACAATATATCTAAGTTAACATTACATAATAATTAATAGAGCTCTTTGCTCATCTATATAATAAAACAAGACATTCGTATATATATATATACTATCCATATAAGCCGCTTCGCGCCCATCTTCTAAATTAATTGTAAACATGTTTTCTTTGTGTACATCGTAAAACAAAACAAAAATAATTCGCGGATTTTCACAAAAAATTTCGTGGATTTTCAAAATTTTCAAAAATTTAATCAAGATCGAATTTTGATGGAGACAAATATTTGAAATTTTGATCATTCATAAACCTTCCCTGTGGTCACGTGATGTCCCACAAAAAATTTGGGCGGATTGGTTCAGCCGTTTTGACGTTTATTGGATACAAACAAACAAATAGACACCCAGACAGACAAGCCAAATTTATATATAGATGTTGCGTATAGCCAGCCAAACGGCTGGACCAATTGGGCTGACATTTTTTGTGGACACTTATTGATGGTCGGGGGTGTTTTAGACTGAAAAATAAAAACAATTTCAGCATATTTTTAAAAAAAATATTTTTTTTCAAACTATTTTTTTCCATTTTATCTTATAAAAAGAGATGATAGCGTTAAATCACTTTAAATTATCTGTAAAAATACCTTATATTGACTATGGACGATGAAGGAATGAAGGTTTTAAAAGTACATCGGACATGCCACTCTATAAATGGAGGGTCACTTGTAATTACGCATGTATTCCATTTAAGTATAATTACATTGAATAATAAAAAATAATTTAAAATCTCATGTTTGTTCTTAACTAAACAAGTTTCATTTAAAAATCTTTAATCAATACTTCATTTTCTGTCAGTATATATTTGATATCATTATTTATGATACAATATGTCGATCCCATGAAAATATAGTTATTTTTAAAGAAACATTTCCATCTCTATTGTTCACCCCTTGAAGCTTACACCACCGTATTAAGAGGGAGTGTCTGATGAGTCCACTTGAGAAAATTACATACAGGAGTGCACGAGGGGGCCGCCCCCCCCCCCCACGCGTGCCCCATCCCTTAGGGCACCCATATAAAAATACGTAAAAATCTCACTTTTGACTTTACTAAAAAAGTCACATTAAAAAGGCTTTAATCAATTGCCTTCAGTGTAAATATATCTTTGATATAATACAATATGTATCGTTTCTATAAAATATAGATATTTTTTAAGAAACGTTTCCAATCTCTATTTTCCACCCATTGAAGCTTACACCACAGCATAAAGAGGAAGTGTCTGAAGAGTCCACATAAGAAAATGACATAAATAATTTATTAACACTTGTTATATGGAAGTGTGTAAATGATCGAATAGTTTACATTGTTAGAAAGGTATCAATATTTTTTCAAAAAAGGTTTTTTTAAGGGGGCACAACATTTTTTTGCGTGCTGATGCGTGCGAAAATTGCCCACCCCCCCAACTCTTATTTTGTATAAACACTGTTTAAAAAAATCATTATATTTGTGTCATACTTTTTAAAGTTTAATCCAAAAGAGATTTTTTTATTATCTAATGAATTTAAAATTCAAAATACAAATGTGCAATTTAATGATTTTATATATAATAAAAAGTTAGTCCGCACTTACCATTTTGTTTAAGTTTAAGATGTATGAATACTGCCTAAAGCTGAGTCAGGTTCGCCCAGACAGTTCAAAAGTCGGATTGGGACTAAACTAACTAAACTAAATCATGCGGCATGCCACTCACTGCCAGGCCACTGGCACCCGGGCCACGGCAGGCCGTCAGCCAATCACAAGCCATGATTCGTGGACATTCAACCAATCAAAGGTCTCCATGCAGGGCTTTATCATTCTCAACCGAGGTCGTTTATTTTCACTATTTTCAAAAAGGGAACCGTCAAACAATGTCAAATTTTGATTTCTTTTTGTACTTTCTTGGTCAAACTTTTCAAATGTAGCAATCTAAAAATAAAGTCAGAACCATGGTGTTGGCCTCCCAAGATTTCAGATCGATTTTTGGCCTCGAGACTTCTCCACGTTCTCCACGCCCTAAACAGCTGATATAAAACCTCCAAAATTATGGTCGGATGAAAGGTGGGGCAACAGAGAAACGAAAAAGAAAGCATTAAGGAAAATTCATTTTCAGAGAAAAATTTTAACAAAATGAATTGACAGAAATTTCCCTCAATTTATTTTTAAAAATGTATTTATTCTTAAAGATTTGAACAAAATCCTTAAATTCAACCCCCCCCCCNACCACCGTATTAAGAGGGAGTGTCTGATGAGTCCACTTGAGAAAATTACATACAGGAGTGCACGAGGGGGCCGCCCCCCCCCCCACGCGTGCCCCATCCCTTAGGGCACCCATATAAAAATACGTAAAAATCTCACTTTTGACTTTACTAAAAAAGTCACATTAAAAAGGCTTTAATCAATTGCCTTCAGTGTAAATATATCTTTGATATAATACAATATGTATCGTTTCTATAAAATATAGATATTTTTTAAGAAACGTTTCCAATCTCTATTTTCCACCCATTGAAGCTTACACCACAGCATAAAGAGGAAGTGTCTGAAGAGTCCACATAAGAAAATGACATAAATAATTTATTAACACTTGTTATATGGAAGTGTGTAAATGATCGAATAGTTTACATTGTTAGAAAGGTATCAATATTTTTTCAAAAAAGGTTTTTTTAAGGGGGCACAACATTTTTTTGCGTGCTGATGCGTGCGAAAATTGCCCACCCCCCTATGCAAATAAATAAAGCACTTATATAATAAATGGGAATGTGCAATATGATCGAATTATAGTTTACATAGTTAAAAAAAGATATGAATAGTTTTTCAAAGAAGGGATTTTAAATGGGGGGCACAAAAAAAATGTCCGACCAATTGTGTTGAACATCGGACAGATTAATATTTAGTGTTAGTGAAAAATTAGAATTCAAATTCAAAGGATCAGGAATTGAGTTTTTGTCACAAACACTGATTTTACTATTCCTATATCTTTGCATTTCAATGTCAGAGACCTTAGATATTTCAAACTAAGAATTATTTTAGATCAAATAATAATAGTTTGAAATATCAAAGGTGAACACCATCAGGTTGCAAAGATATAGCGAATTTAAAATCAGAATTTGTGGCTAAAACTCAGTTTCTTTACAGTCTCCCCCTAATCTAAAATTAAATTGAACCTCTGTAACCGTAAACAACCTGTCTAAGTCGACTTCTAGTGGTGAGTTTAGGAACTAAGTTCTTGTGTGCATCTGGTCGGAACAGCCACTGCAGTATAATCAGGGGTACACCTACACTCCTTTCCAAGTATGTAAGATAAATCCCTGCACTCTCCCTAGGCGTTCCCAGCTTTTTTATCTGGAAATATTGCTAAATTATTTTGGAATTTTGCGGTTTTAAAACTGGTTAAATCCGGTGTTCTGAATATAACTTGACACATTGCACACCGAATTAATATATCTCTCTCTTTCTATTTTACTTCACAGAACCATTCCTGGTTAAAGATGACCTCACCTCCACACTTAATCATATCTTTAATACTAGATGGAGGGGGGGGGGGGGCTAAACAATCTTTTAAAAAAGATAAAATAATATATATAACCAAAACATATATTAATGCATAATAAAAGGATAACAAAATAAAAAAAGGATAACGAAATGATAACAACAAAAATCAATAAATTAATACATAACGAAAAGATAAGAAAAACCTGTATTTATGCATAATATTAACTATAACAAAAACCTATATTAATGGTAAATTAAAAAACAGATGATAAAAATAATAAATATAATAACTTGTTTGATCTTCATCAATAGCTCTTCAATAAACGGATTAAAAAGAACAACGAACTTTTAAATCTTTTTTGCAATTTACTTCATTTTCATCGTAAAATAATAATATTAACAATATTAGAAATAATAATATAATAATGATAATAACAAAAATAACAATAATGGGAGTAGAATGAATTGCGTGTTTTTCGAATTTTTAAAAAGTTCTTAAAGAATTGAGAAATATTTGTTTGTGCAATGAAACAAGTTTGCTGTTCTCGCTTCATAGAGCAGTTACTATAATAGATAATTTTTCTAATCCCTATACTTTTAAAACCTGATGGTGTGAACCTTTCATATTTGAAGCTGTAGAAACTATATGATCTAACAAAATTCATGGTTTGACATATGAAATGTCTACGCCATCGGGTTGCCAAGATATAGAGTATAAAAAGATAGAGTTTGTGGAAAAAATCATTCTTTTACTTGAAATTCAAAGCCAAAGGACAAACAGGGCTGTTTAAATATTAAACGGTAAAGTTGCGGGGGTTGGGGACTGGAGGCCTGGGAGGTGGGAGAGCCCAGAGTTACTTAGGGGGCCGGGGCGGAGGAGGGGGGTTACTCTGTACATTGAGGTTTAACATATGGTGGGTTCTGGGTATAGGGAGAGGGGGGGAAGGCAATCCGCTCCCGTATAACCTCCATCCCAAATTTACTCGACTTATATATCTTCCAGCAAAATGTTTCGCGATTTTCTCCTAAAATAAAATATTTTGTACATGCATGACGGCTTCGATGTTATTCTTGTCTAAAAATGTTTTTGACGGAAGAGAGAAATAAAATTTTTACTAGAAATAACACAGATTTGCGTAGAATTCTGTTTAAAAATATCTAAATCTATTTAGCTATTTATCTATCTGATTTTAGATAGTTTAAAACTGAATTGCAAAACTGGGTTATTTTTTTGTAAAGATTGTATTTCTCCTTTCCTTCAAAAACATTTTTAGAGAAGATAAAAATCAGCCAAAAAAAATATGATTATAAAATGCTTTAATATAATAGACAACATGACGTCTTTAAAATCTTAGATTAACGCTGCATTCCTCTTTCATAAAAATTCATAAGTAAAATCATTTTGCCGGAAATGGGTGCGGCTAAGGAAGCGCTATAGGTGAGCGCGTTGCCGCAAGTCTATGTTTGGAGTAAATTGGGGGATGGAGGCTATACGGGTGCGGATTGCCTTCCCCTCCTCGGGGGGGGGGGAGAGGTGAACATTCAAAAAATTTTTCAAAAAAGGTTTTTTTAAGGGGGCACAACANGGGGGGGGGGGAGAGGTGAACATTCAAAATATTTTACACTCTACACTCTACAGTCTACACAATACAGTCTAGTCTACAGTCTGTAGTTCAATAGAATGTAAACACAAGGCAGAGTCAACAACATAGATCTTAGTAATTCTATACTCTGGCATAGTGAAACAACTTATAAGCAAGTTTTTAAATATAAATATATATAACGTAAGATAAAACTATAAAAATGTTAAAAAAAACAAATATTTAATTAAAATCAAATTTTATTATTTTGAATTCAAATTTTTCCTACACATTACAAACATTTTTTTTCATAATAAAAAATGAAAAAAAAAATTAAAATGTTTTGTTAAGATATCTAAAAATGGAAGTACCACAGTTAGCAATTTCCAATGAAGAACTCAGGGTAAGCAAAAAAATTCATATGTTTTATCTAGACTTTTCTTGTTGTCATGCAAGCATCATGATCGGGCCAACTTTGAAGTTTCACTAGGTCCTAGCCCTTGGTTACTTGGCCTACCCACGTACTTAAACATTTCTGTTACTAAGAAACTGAAAAGTATTGTATTCACTGCAATCGTGACAGACCTTCATATTCATACAACATTACTGGGGGTACGACATTGTGACCTCGTCAATCCTTAAGTTTTGTTTTAAGTATGAAAAAAGCACGTTTGCCTGTGTTTTTTACATGGACATTAAAAACACTTGTTTTGTTTTCAATAACTTTTCAATAAGATTTATGTCAGATTTTAATCTTACATATTAACCTTCATGTTTGACATGAAGTAGATTAGTTCAAAATTAGTATTTTGATTATTATCTTCTATACTATACTGACTATCAGATATAAACATGTAATAAATATATAGGAATAACCCTAATTCATATGTCCTATGTTAGTAAATTTCTGAATAGACCTATCAGTCCATATTATTAACCTGTACTATTAAATCCAAAATAAAGATCAGTGGAATTTGAATACTGTTTCATTACGGTCAGGCGTTTAAATACTCGGTAGAGTGTATAGAGTTAGAGAGCGAGTTATATTTGGATTGATACATACTTAAGAATATAGAGTTGTATCTGGATTGATATAGACTAAAATATTATTGTAAAGTATAGAGTTCGCGAGCAAGTTGTATCTGGATTGATACGTGCTTAAGAATTCAGAGAGAGTTGTATCTGGATTGATAAAATTGAAGCTACAAACAAGCACATTTTACATTTGACTATAGGATCAATGCAAAATTAGAAAGATGGAGAAGGTAAAATTCATGCCACATCGTAGCTCTTCTATTTTTTATTTTTACTTAATACTGCAGGCCGGAGATAGAAAATGTTTCTAGTTACAGATTAGAAATTCAAAACATTTCTTTTCTTCTCAATAGCTCTTCAATTCAATTGAAAACTGGTAGATTGGTGTAAATTATTTCATTTGTAAATCATTTTCGATTAATTTTTACTTTTTTGTAAATTATTATTCTAATTATTATTATCTTTGTAAATTATTATTTTAATAATCACTTTTAATTATTATTTAAAATTATTACAAATTATGCTATCATCTTTGTAAAAGATAACTTTAATTATATTATCTTCGTAAATTACAGTTTTTATTGTTATCATTTTTGTAAATTATTATTCTAATTATTATTAATTTTGTTGAGGCTAAGATTTGTGAGCACTTGAGCCCTCTTATTTTGGATGAGACTAAGGTTAAGAAACTCAGGTATTTTTGAGTTAAATCTTTTTTAAAAATTCAATATCATGCTTTAATGTATAATATAATACAATGGAAAGATATTAATTCACCTTAACAATATCACTCTTTACAAAACTGAACATATCGGCTAGGAATTTTATGTCCAAAAGATTTTTTAAAATTTTTGTTAAATTTTGAAAAGGCACGAACAAATATTATTAAATCCACAAACTTTTTTGTTCTTGTTTTATATTGTACAAAGAGAAGATGCTCAAAGATTCAATTAGAAGTTGAAAAAGAATATGGGCGCGAAGCACTCTTAAAGCCTAGTAAACGTAAATACTGCTAAAACGATTGAGCCTAATTTTGTGTGTTGGACTTTACATTAATATGATCTCATAAGAAAATCCACGAGATTCCTTCTCAGATTTTTTGTTTATACTGTTTATTTATCCCTATAGTTAACCATTAGTGATTAGCGTCGTTTTCGACAGATAAATTGAACCCCTAACTAATTATCTGAAATTAGAAAAAAAAATACTTGTCTCTTCAAAAAATCTTTAAATGGAGCCAAAATGAGCCAGTGCCCAGTCCTACGAGAAATTGTATTAAAGACTGACTGAAATAATATTGAACTGTAAGGGTTTATACCTTATATACAGGGTTATCCACAAAGGATGAGACTTCAGAGACGACTGTACGGAATATGTCTGCAACTATGACCTCTCTTTGCCAAATCATAAAATAAGCCATTGAAAGAAAATTTACAGGTCACGAGACAAAAATAAATCACAATTGTCACATGTTATGAGTCTCAAGTCGTCCTTAAAGGGACTGTAAAGGAAAAATGAAAGGGGGTATAGGCTGAAAGCTAATCCCTTTAGTTCTTGATCGCGACCATTGAAAGTTTTATCTGATGTTCCTGTCTCGAGAAATTGATAACCCTGATATAGTACAAATATAACAATAAAAATAACAACAACTGCAAACTGCAAGATACAAATGTGTAGCTCTCCAGAGTCCTAAGTAATATTCAGCTGACAATCCCAATAACTTGTATTTTAGGGATGTGTTTGAGGATGAGGTTGAAAAAGGGATTGAATCTGGATTGGAGGGATCCTCAATCCAGGGATATTTTTACTTTGCTTTTACTTAAAGGGATTTTCTTTTTTACCTTGTGAAGCACCTTTCTAACTCTGATTTTCCAAATTATCGTAAATATTGAATGTTATAAAATATAAAATGCAGATGGAGAATACATACATTCCTGAGCTTCTAGGTAAGAGTTGTAACCTATTCGTGTTAAACACTTTATGCCTAAAGACTAATCTATCTTCTGGCTTATCATATAATTATGTCACGTTTTTTTTGACAATATCAAAGTTTTTAACGTAACTCGACTTATTTTGTTTGTTTGTCTGTGTCTAATAAAAGACAAAAACTCAAATATTTTGCCTGAAATTTTATATCGCCTTAAACGATTTTTGAAATCCCTCAATTTGTCTTAAAAATCCACAAACATGCTTTTTTTGGAGTACGACTTTAAAATCTAGAGGTAAAGGTAAAATTGTTACTATAAAAAGGGTGCTTAGCGCCCTAAACCCCTGTTAAAAATATATTTATTTTGTATGATTTATTTTCCTGTTTTTATCAGATGGTTCGGAGGAGGGAGATTTTCTAGCATTAGACCTGGGTGGAACAAACTTCAGGTTGGTCGTCTTCAAATATCACTTAAAGGGAGTGTCTGGCTAGACATGGTAGTTGAGCTGAGAGTGCAATCTTGTAAACATCTCATTTGAGACCTTTAAGACGTTTGTACAGTGTATAACTTCTAAGAAAGAACGCTAAATCGATCTTTAAAACCCTGCTGGGCAGCCGATTTTGCGCACTTACAATTAGCATAGCAAGTATACACTGTACAAACGTTCTATAAGTCATAAATGATTTCTAAACAATTTCTCTACAATACTGCAATCTCAACTCAACTAACATAACTAGCCAAACACTCCTTTTTAGGAAGGGGGGGGGGNAGAGCAGCATCTTTTTATGTCCTTAGCAGTAACTAGTTTTTTTTGAGGGGGGGGGGCGTTGGAGGAACGGGGGTAAAATAGAGTGCAAAGCTTTCTTGCAGTAAAATAACATAAAATGTAAATGTATATGGTCATGCCTATAAAATTGAACATTAATTTTTAAAAAATGGCTTTTATAATAAAATTCTTTTACAGTTATATCTTACGAAATAAATAAAGAAGATATTTGATCTTAGGGTTTTTTTTTGAGAATAAAACATCATCTGTATCTATATATGTAAAGTTTAAATGTCTGTTTGTTTGTCCGGTCATAACTCATGAACTCCATAATAGATTTGCCTCAAATTTTGATTGGGAAGCTTGGAAGAACCATAGGAATGTCCTAGCCTGATTTAAGTATATTGAGTATTTAGGCTTTTATTAGGAAAGCTGGATTTTCAAGCTTATTTAATATATTAATATCAAACTTAAACCTCCATTGTGACAGATATCTATTAATTGTTTTCAAGCTAATTTAATATATTTATATCAAACTTAAACCTCCATTGTGCCAGATATCTATTAATTGTTTTTAAGCTAATTTAATATATATTTATATCAAACTTAAACCTCCATTCTGCCAGATATCTATTAATTGTTTTTAAGCTAATTTAATATATATTTATATCAAACTTAAACCTACATTGTGTCAGATATCTATTAATTGTTTTCAAGCTAATTTAATATATTTATATCAAACTCAAACCTCCATTGTGTCAGATATCTATTAACTGTTTTTAAGCTAATTTAATATATTAATATCGTACTTAAACCTATTACATTGTGTCAGATATCTATTAATTGTTTTTAAGCTAATTTAATATATTAATATCAAACTTAAACCTCCATTGTGTCAGATATCTATTAATTGTTTTTAAGCTAATTTAATATATTAATATCAAACTTAAGCCTCCACTGTGTCCGATATCTATCAATTGTTTTTAAGCTAATTTAATACATTAATATCAAACTTAAACCTCCATTGTGCCAGATATCTATTAATTAATTGTTTTCAAGCTAATTTAATATATTAATATCAAACTTAAACCTCCATTGTGCCATTTTTCTATTAATTGTTTTCAAGCTTATTTAATATATTAATATCAAACTTAAACCTCCATTGTGTCATGGATATCTATTAATTGTTTTCAACTTTAGGGTTATCTTACTGAACCTAAAGAAGGGAAGAATAGAAAAGGAGATTATTGAATACTACAGGTAAAAAACTTATTATAAAATTAAACTTTTTTAATGTATACATACACACTTCATTAGTTTTGGTTTAATTTTGTTATTTTTATCATTCTCCTTGTAATTACTATTAACTTTATTATTATTATTAATATTGATATACATTAATGAAAACTATCTGAAATGCCCGGCTTTGCCCGTGGAAAAAAATTTAAAATAAAAAAATTGAATTTACTAGTTAGAAGTTCATATTTTTATGCCTATGTTACCTCCTGAGTCCTGGGATACTCTAAGGTTCTCCAATAAAATATGTTAGCCCATTCGGTCAAGCTTTTTGCCCAGCTAAAGCTAGCATATATACATACAAATAAATTCACATTTGTGAGTGAAGAGCTTTATTATATACAGAAGAAGATTGTTTACTATTATCATCATTATCATTTTTAATATCGCTATTAATTTCATTATCAAAATCATCATTAACATTATTTTTACTGCAATTTAGATTTATATTCTTAATTCAATTATCATTAGATATTATTTTTATTATCTATATAATAAAACAAGACATTCGTATATATATGTTGTGTATAGCCAGTCAAACGGCCAGACTGATATGGCTGAAATTTTTTTGTGGACACTCATGGGTGACCGGGGGGTGTTAAAGGCTAAACAAAATTTTAAATTTTTTTTTCAAAATTTTTTAGTTTTATTTTTATTTTTAAAATTTTTTTTAAATTTTTTCAAATATTTATTTTTCCACGGGAAACGCCGGGCCCTTCAGCTAGTTAATATTATTATAATTTTAGCGTTGATGAGGCACTACGGGTTGGACCTGGTTCTGACCTCTTTGATTTTCTGGCAACTTGCATCCAAGAATTTTGTTCAAAGCACAGGAAAAAATCAATATTTCAAGCACAATCATTATTTTGAACTTTTTATAAATTTTGACTTTTGATATAAAAAATTTAAAAACTATGTGTCACTGAAAGTAAATTATTGTTTTCTTATCCAATATCAAATTATGAACATGGTGTTTTTCTCCAGCATTAGCGGCGAATCTACAATAAGCCTAGGATTCACATTCTCCTTCCCTATGATCCAGCATGCGCTCAATGTCGGTGTACTCGGTAATTAATTTTACAAAAAATATCCTTTCAAAATGAACTAATGTCAATTTGAATTCAAGCCGGACCGACACCTCTTGTACCGGACTTAGTGACGCGTAGAAATCACCGGCCCGACCATATACTATGGTGATTCTGTTTTGATTGAGATGGCGCGCGGCCAGACGTTTTACAGTACCCGGCCCATCATAAGCCTATTTGACCTTCACAACAAGCTTAGATTTTGTGCTTTGTAAAACTTTAACGCTAATCTACAAGTTACAACTCTTGATTTGATCTGAGACTTAAAAGTAAAAGTCCGGCATATAAAGAATCGAGCGTTTGTAAAACCCATGTGAGTGGTGCGCGGCTTTCTTAGATAGTTGCGCAAGCGACAAGAGAAATAATAAAATTCAAAACAAATTAATTAAATAATATTATAAAATATGAACTATATACAAATGTGGCGAAAGATAATCGATGACTAAAAGGTTGTAATATCTGAATGATTTGTGAGAAATTGAATTGATTTTTTAACGGTCTAGGCCGTATGTTGCAATTTTCTGAATTTGTATGGACGCTAAGTTATTCGGTATTTAACAATTTTCTCCTTATAGACACAACAGATAGAAGCAAGATTAGTAGCGATCAAAAGCGCTTTTTTATCGCATTAAGCCTATACCCCATTTCATTTTTCGCGAACACTCCCTTTAAAGGGGATGGTGGAGATGTCATGTTTGATGTAGGGGGGGGGGGGCCTGCCTTCATTTTTGCTTCATGTCTTTCAATTTTTCGGCTGCACACCTAATTAGTGATCGAAATTCCTAGCGTAAAATCAAATTCAATTATAATGGCCTCTAATGACCTCTTATGACCTCCACAAATTGAAAATATTTAAACTATGGCGTTATGCATAACAAATAAAAGCTAGGAACCCAGGGAATACAGTAGCAGCAACAAATCTAGTGTTTGGCCTTCTAATGACCTTTTACGACCTCTAATGGCCTAAATTACCTCCAAAAATGAGAATGTTTTAACTACATGGCTTTATGCCTATCAAGTGAAAGCTAGGAACCCCGGGAATACAGTAGTAGTAACAAATCCAGTGTTTGACCATCTAATGACCTCTAACTACCTCGAATGACCTAAAACGACCTCCACAATAAAAATGTTTTAACTATGGCTATATGCATATCAAACGAAAGCTAGGAACCCAGGGAATACAGTAGCATCAACGAATCCAGTGTAAAACATTTCATTTTAATGGTAATATTAGGTCATTATAGGCCATTAGAGGTCATTAGAAGGTTAAACACTGGATTCGTTGCTGCTACTGTATTCCTGGGGTTTCTAGCTTTCGTTTGATATGTATAAAGCCATAATTAAAATTCATTTTCATTTTTGGAGGTCATTTAGGTCATTTAGGTCATTAGAGGTCAAACACTGGATTCTTATTAAAAGGAATTTTTCCTGAAAAACTTCTTGAAATTACGTTACGACTTCTTTAACCTGTATTGCCTATTTTGTACGCGACGGTATTATTTTTCTCAGGAAAACTGATATTATTGCATAATTTCGAATACATTTTTTAAATAATTTACTGGCCGAAATTGGTAATTTAATTGAGATTTCTTTTAGTTAATTGGACGAAGAGCTTCACATGCCCCGGAGTAATCGGTAATTAAACCTTGTTCTACATTTTAAAAACTCAATTCAATTTTTTTTATTCATTGTTAACCATTAAAGGAGAAGACGCAGTGCTTTTGTTGAACAACTCTCTGCAAAAGGTATAAAATAAATGCGGTATACTACCAATTAATAATATTTGTCTTTTTTCTTTATTGATTTTGTAATAAAAAGAATTAAGACGACATCAATAATTCCTCTTTTTTCTTATAACTAATGTATTGTAATACAGAGAGAACCCGAAAGCTGTGGAATAGGAAGTCATTAAAGCAATACGTACTTGTATTTGATGTGGTTTCAAAACAGATCGTATTGCTAGTGACTTATTAAATCACCTATATGAAATGAATCTGTTTACACTGCACAATTCTGCTATTTCTAATGTTCAGTGGACTTTTTAAAGTTACAACCTGAGTCTAGAATCTCTTCTCCTGTTCTAGAGTTTTCTTGTTCTCACTGTACTGAAATGCAATCTGTTTTCATATTTTAAAAATTAAAATTTAAACTTGCGTTTCAAGATTGGATTGTTGAACGTGAGGGTGGTTGCAATCCTGAATGATACGACAGGAACACTTGTAGCAGGAAAATAATGTTGAAATAGCAAACATTTCTATTCAATTTTGCTTATTTTTTTTAATCGATAATATTGTTCTTTTTGTTTAATTTTTAAGAATCTGTTGGACAGAGATCAAAGAATTTGGCTTAATCTGCTGTTTTTTCGATGTGGTCAATATTTTGATCGAACTTTTATTGGGCCACGTAACTTTTAGGTGGGCCTGCAGTATTCTTCATGACTGCAGGTTTAATGGAATTAAGATTTGATTAAATCTCAAAATAAGTTTTTAAAAAAGTAAATTAACACTATAACCACAAACTCTAATAATCCCAATAGCTTTGCAACCTAATTGTGTAAATTTTAAACTACGATATCAGGTTGCAAAGAAACAGGATTATAAAATAAGGGTTTGTTCTGTTAAACCCGGAATGTAAAAAAAAGAAATCGTTCGTAAAAAAAGATATTGTTCTTTTATCAAAATTAACTCTCTTCAATATTTAAAAGTTCGTGATCACATTTTAGATCAGTCACATGGATGATAGGTCCATTTCCATACTTTTAGTTTTCATAAAACATTGTTGGTCCTGAAGGTTCTCATGATTATTCTGATTGCTCTATTGGATTGATCCTTGGAACCGGAACTAATGGAGCATACATGGAAAAGGTTGAGAGGATAAAACGGTGAGCAACTGATTTACATTCACTAATATTGAACGCTTGATTCCGATATCTAATGTAATGAGGGCACTTTTGTATTTGAGTATAATTGCTCGTTTTATTAAGAAACTTTATATCTCTTCAGGGTTTAACCATCATGAAATATCGCAAAGGAATTTAATTAACCCTATTCCTGTTATCCTGGTTTTCAAGTACCCCAGCAGGGATAGGGTTAATTGGAAAGATGTAGATCAATGCTTAATCCCGAAAAAGGAAAAGATACGATCTTAATAAAAATAATTTTCTGTTTTTTATTGGAATTTTCTTAAACCTCTACCCCTCTTCAACAACACTGTTCCGGAATTAGAAAATCAGAGCTTGTGGCAAAAAAAATCCTCTTAATTTTCCCTTTTTAAAATCTTATATTTTCAGTTGGGAAAGTGGATCAAAGGAGGGATTGAAGGATGTGATTGTGGATCCGGAATGGGGAGCTTTTGGAGATAATGGATCCATTGATTTTATCAAAACAGGTCAGTTTTTTATATAATTCTATTTTTAACTTAATTTGAAAACAATCATTTTTTATTTGGGTTTACTAACAATGTTATTTAATTGATTGAAGGAGGCATGGTTCTTAAAAACAGGAGAGGACGATAAAAAATGTAATAATTTCTTCATTTGATCGCTTTTACAGCTTATTGTCCGAAAAAAACGTGTTGAGGAAGAGGAAATGTGCAAGGTGATCCTATAAACAGGGGATTTCCTATAATTGTTAAATGACAAAGACTGTATCAAAATAAAGACTGAACGTCTTATGAGCTTCTAAAAGTGTGGTCTCCCTTTTTTAAATCTCCCTCAGTTCTGAAAGTGAAAAGTTGCACATTTTGAAATTCCAAGACAAATAGTTTTATTAAAAACTGTTTTAACTGGACACTGACAGGAATACTGAACAAATTGTGTGCAAAACTTTGCATACTAATGCCACGCGGAACAAAGACGATATAGAAGTCCCATGATTTTAGGAACTCCCTGCATTGTTGTTCACCGATTGTTTAAAGGAAACAACTGTTTATGCCTTTATACAGAGAAAACACATTTATTATTTCTTAAGGAATATTCACAATAAACTTAACATCTTTAACTCTATTATTATTCAAAAGCCTGCAATGATATGCACTGATTTCATAAAAGGGGGGATTTTTTGAAAACTTGTGCACCCATTAAATTTTGAAACCTGAATTTTAAAAAAATTGTTCACTCCAAAATTTGAAAAGTTGTTCACCCCAGAAAGAAATAAAATCGTCCCTGAATTTAGAAAAATTGTACACCCTGAAAATAGAAAAATTGCACATCTTTTAATTTAGAAAAATTGTACACCGCTGAGTTTTTGGCGAAATATACGCTTCTGAATTTTGAAGATTGTAACACCCTGAATTTTGAAAAATTGCACACCTCTGAAATTTGAAAATTGCTACAACCCTGAATTTAGAAAAAATGCACACCCCTGAATTTAAAATATTCTACAACCCTGAATTTGTTTTTATTTCTCTAGTTTGGGATAGAGACCTAGATAAGTATTCCCTACTGCCCGCCAGCTTTACTTATGAAAAATATTTTGCTGGGAAATATCTGGGAGAGCTAGCTAGGATCATTCTTCTCAGGTTAGATATTAAAGAGAATATCTGGGAGAGCTAGCTAGAATCATTCTTCTCAGGTTAGATATAAAGAGAATATCTGGGAGAGCTAGCTAGGATCATTCTTCTCAGGTTAGATATTAAAGGGAATATCTGGGAGAGCTCACTAGGATCATTCTTCTCAGGTTAGATAATAAAGAGAATATCTAGGAGAGCTAGCTAGGATCATTCTTCTCTGATTAGATATTAAAGAGAATATCTGGGAGAGCTAGCTAGGATCATTTTTCTCAGGTTAGATATTAAAGAGAATATCTGGGAGAGCTAGCTAGAATCATTCTTCTCAGGTTAGATATTAAAAGGAATGTCTGGGAGAGATAGCTAGGACCATTCTTCTCAGGTTATATATTAAAGGGAAGATCTGGGAGAGCTAGCTAGGATCATTCTTCTCAGGTTATATACTAAAGGGAATATCTGGGAGAGCTAACTAGGATCATTCTTCTTAGGTTAGATATTAAAGAAAATATTTCATATTTCAAGCAATAATATCTGCAGTGAATAATTCCTAGTGTGTACACTGGTGGGTTGCTGTCCTTCTGTCCAGAACAACTTAGCAATGTTGGTTCCATTTCAACCCAACAGGTGTCAGAAATAACACAGGTGCAATATATTGTAAATAAAAATTTTGACATATCTACATAATTATGAAATAATAATTAATCATAAAAACAATCTTAGCACTATTTATTAATAATTGTATTAATGATAATGATAATTCAACAATAATAATATTAAAAATAGTAATAAGAAGAATAATAATGAACTACAGGATATGTTGAACGGAAGCACCTCTATAACTGAAAGTATCCTTAGCAAACTCGGTGCTTCAAGTCAAGCAAAGGTAAACAAACAAAATCATGAAAATATGTTATAACATTTGTTGATTGACAATGAAATATAAATACTAGCAGCAGTCTACATTTACTAGGCTTGGGGAGGAATTTCTTGTAAATATAAATACTATGAAGACGACTTTCAATTTCAGTTTTTGACTTCTACCAAGCTTTAAGCAGCATTGATACATATAAACATGAAAACAAAGAGAAGCTATGAATTATACACTATACAGCATCTGTTTCTTACTTGTAAAAAAGCTTTGTAGAAATCAAAACTCTTTTAATAAAAAACGTCTTCGTTTTATTGATATAAATGCCGACAACTGTACTTTATGTTCAGAGATGGATTTCTTGTACTTTATAGTACAATAATTGGGATAGATGTACTATATGCTAAGGAAGCAACCCTTGTACTATAGTACACTATTCATGGTACATGGACGGTACATGAAATATATGTTTAGAATGGAGCCCATGTACTCCAGTATTCATGGTACAAGAACTTTATATTTAGAAAGGAGACCACGTACTCTAGTACAATAATTGGGTCCATTAACTATATGTTTAGGAAGGAGCCCTTGTACTCCAGTACATATGTGAACTACTAGCCGAGCGGGCCAGTATTCTAGTCGGAATACCTATGGCGTTCTTTCTTGAACGAATGGACAGGTAAAATACGAGAAAGGAGGAGGGAGGGGGTGGTTGTGGTCGCGCGCTCTTAGAAATTACACTTTTACTTTTTTAACACTAAAACTACGGTTAATTCGGCGTATATTAGCGACCTTTAAGCAGCTGGAGCAAGAATTGTATAGTTTACACAGATAATGATGAACAAACATGTATTTTGAAAACTTCTCTAACATTAATTGTTAACTCTTTTATTAAGGCCAACCTCTACGATAGCTGTTACTGGATCTTTATATAAACATCATCCAACGCTAAAGTAAGGAATACTTTTATTAACTACCAGCTGGCATACCCGTGGAATTAAAAAAATCTATGTTACCTCTTTAATCTTTAAAAGACGACATTTGATAGATTTCATTAAACTATTGTGTTTAGAGCTAAGCTAGAGACTAGAATTAAGAAAATGACGGAGAAGAAGTATAAATTTGGACTGTGTGATGACGGCTCAGGTAAATATGATTTTATTATTTTAAAGTGATAACCAGAAAACTCTGGAATAGGAAGACGACTTTTAGACTCAAGTTATGACTTTAAATAGACCCATTTCACTTAATTAGTGACTTAATAATTGTCTAGTAAAACTGTTTGATTTGTAACAGCAATAAATACGCTTCAGTATTGCTGTAAAGTCGTCTTCCTATTTGTGAATTTCTGATCATGACTGTAGTATTGGTCGGAATTAACAGACGTAATTAAGGAAAAGTTTTGTATTGCAGTGTACTGTCTCTGGGCGGTAATGTAAACACAAGAAGGATGTCGAAGCCTCTTCATGATTGAAAAGTCTTAATTTTGCATAAAAAAATCATTTATTAAGATACGGGGCATCGTTTTCAGACATCTAAGTTTTTTTGACAATTAAATTGCTTCACAAAAATGTGAGATTTATTAAAATTGCAAAATTTTATCATCGATAAGTGTGCTTTTATTACATTATGCGATTTTTTTCATATAAACAAAGTTATTGAACAAAACGATTCTTCATAACGAAAACGAAAAACGAAAAACGAAAAACGATTTTCCTAATTGTTTTGAAAAATCGTTTTGATTGATAATTTTAAACAGTGTAAAAATGTTGTATAATATAATAAAAGCAAATTTTTCAGCCATAAATTTTAAAATAGGTATTATATCTCAGATTCTTGTGGTGTTTCTTGAAAATCTAAAAATTTAAAATGTTGAAAACGGACTTTATAAAGATGCCCATCTGTAACTATGGAATTAAATCAACTAAATAAGTTCTGTTCAATCGTCTCTGAAGTTTCATTGGTTGTATAAAGCAAAATTATATAAAATTATTATTCTAGGGAAAGGTGCTGGACTGGTTGCTGCTATTGCTGAACGACTAGCTAGAAAATAGTGAATACATGATTAAAATTGAAAAAGATAAAACATTGTGCCACTTTTTTTATTTTAATAAACGAGTTTGGAAGCTATATAACAAAATTTGCGAAATATTTTTTAAAAAACTGAACTTTTCTCAAAAAACTCTTTTAAATATATTTTGATGAATGTTAAGATATCATTTAAAACTTTTTATTTCAGATTATGCATTTATCCGAAGATGTTTTTGATTGTGAAGAAATTATAAATTCTGAATTAAGATTTTTGAAACCGCATCACAGGAAGCCATTCAATATAGATTTAGAAAAACAATCCTTACATGATGGTATTTTTCATCAAAATTTTTTAAAACTCGCATTAGAATTCTTATATTTACTTTGTATAAATTCTATATATTTTTTGGATTTATTTATCCAAAACTTTTTCCTCCCGCCAAACCCTAGAATCAAGAAAATATACACCCCTGCCTGCGCTGTTAAACCAGGCATCCAGCTTTTTGACTGGTGGTGACATGTAAATACTTTTTTGCAAGGGAATCTAATATTTTCTTTCTTTCAAGTGTGCTTAGACGTCCCGGCATTTGAATATCTATATATATAAAGTTGGTAATCTCTGTTCGTCCGATCATATCTCGGGAATTCCTGGTTTCTCTCAAATTTTGATTGGGGACTTCGGGAGAACCACGGGAATATTCTTAGCTTGGTTTTGTGGTTCTAAATTGAGTTGGTTGACTCTAATTAAGAACAATTAGTTTCTCGGTAAAAATCGTCTAACTGCGGGTATACGGCGGGAGTAACTATGAGTAGTGAGTACCCTATGTAACGCTATGTTTCCAAGCTAGTATGAAATAATATTCTGAATATCGTTTTGGTTGTTTAGAGCCGGCTTATCTGACATATTTACAGCTTCAGACAATCTATGGATTCCTTTCATGGGTTCTATTCCCAGGTATATTTTAATATTTCTTTCATGGGTTCTATTCCCAGGTATATTTTAATATTCCTTTCATGGGTTTTATTTCCAGGTATATTTTAATATTCCTTTCATGGGTTCTATTCCCAGGTATATTTTAATGTTCCTTTCATGGGTTCTATTCCCAGGTATATTTTAATATTCCTTTCAGGGGTTCTATTCCCAGGTATATTTTAATATTCCTTTCATGGGTTCTATTCTCAGGTATATTTTAATGTTCCTTTCATGGGTTCTATTCCCAGGTATATTTTAATATTCCTTTCATGGGTTCTATTCCCAGGTATATTTTAATATTCCTCTCATGGGTTCTATTGACAGGTATAGTTTTAATATTTTTCCTTTCATGGGTTCTATTCCCAAGTATAGTTTTAATATTCCTTTCATGGGTTCTATTCCCAGGTAAAGTTTTCATATTCCTTTCATGGGTTTTATTCCCTGGTTTAGTTATAATATGAATATTTAATAATCGTTATTAATTTTTCTACACGCAAATCTTTACCGAAAGGCACTAAAATATTCCAAGATAAAGATTTCCTAATTTTGAATTAAATAATTAAATTTTTTTTTGTCACATAAAATAAGATCACTTTAAATTTAAAAAAATGCAAATGGAGTGATATACAGAATTTCATGAATTAATTTGATAAATCGTAAAAACCATACATCAATTTATGAAACTTTCACAAAAAATGTAACTCCCTAAAAGACCAAAATCCCCGAAAAAAAACATAACAGTATTGGTTAGCGCTTTGCACAGAACTTACTGACATATATGGAAATAATTCTTAATTTTTCGAAAAAATAAAAATGAATATATTATTTCCTTTTATAAATTGAATCCTCCAAGATTAAATAGTGAATACGAGGTTTATATTTGCTAATATGATTGTCTATTTTTAAGCAAATGTATTTAGATTGAAAAACCTGAATTTATCCTTAATAGGTCTTCTTCTGATACTGGTTCTAAGTATTCTATGGAGCATATAAAGTAAGATTTATTTAAGAGTGGGTTGCTAAAAGCATAAAATAATGTCGTATTTTAGAAAAAAATTGCAATATTAATAATGTTAGCATCATGACTATACGCCAAATACAGGGTTACCCACAAAGAATGAGATTTCAGTGACGACTGTACGGAAGTTTAAAGATTCTCTGCAACTATAAACTTTTTTTAAACAAATCATTAAATAAGCCATTAAAAGACTTTATCTAATGGAAAAGACTTAATTTAACCTTTGAATCTCCATAACATAAGAGTTTCAAGTCGTTTTTACTGTCTCATACTTTGTAGGTTACCTTGTACCGGTGTACCCTGGAATTGTAGATTTAATATCTTTAATGTCATAAATTTATTTTAATACATTTAATCATTTATACAATGCTAATTAATAATCAATTATATCAATTACAATAAGTACATTTATCAAATCAATCACATCAATCACATTAATCAATTAATTACATTTCATTAATTTAATTATTAACAAAATTTGCATAAATTATTTAGGATTATTGAGAATGCAAGTGTAAGACTGAGAAAGAGCCCGTTTGATATTTTACTGGAAGAATGGGGAACCTCAGGAATATTGGATTAAAGATTATTTTCTATTTATATTCAATGGCGGTCATATACTTTGATGCTCATATCAATGGCTGTCATATATTTTAACACTCATATTGATGTCATATAAATGGAAACTGGATTACACGAGGCCTACTTTAGCTTTAATGTAAGTGCTGCCTCGTTCTTAGAGAATACTGATGGACTCGATTCTTCAGGGCCAGCATCTAAGGATACAAGATGAATTAAACATAATAAAATTGTTGAAGTTTATGTCAATAGTCTTTAAATTTGTTAGAAGTATGTTTGCAATGATTCCACAGTTTAATATCTGTTCCAGTTGAATCATGAATTTGTTAAAAGAACATTTTCAGGTTGCTATCCTAAGACTAGTGGTCTGACCACCAGCCCCGTGGGTAGATTTAATATAGAATAAAAAACACAAAACCTTGCACATTTAAAGGGAAGGGGTGTCTTGGGGCAAGGATAAATCCTGGAGCAAAGATGAATCCTGGAGTAAGAATGAATCCTGGAGTAAGGATTAATCCTGGAGTAAGAATGATTCCAGAAGTAGGGCGAATCCTTGAGTAAGCATAAATAATGGAGTAATTGGAGGAATCCTGGAATAAAGATGAATCTTGGAGTAAGGATGAATCCTGGAGTAAGGATGTATCCTAGAGTAAGGATAAATCCTGGAGTAAGCTGATGAGTCCTGGAGTAAGCTGATGAGTCCTGGAGTAAGCTGATGAGTTCTGGAGTACATAGAGAACTAATGTATACTGTTTGCACTTTATTTATCAAAGTTTAGGTTACGTAATTGATGATGTGAAGGATGGAATCAATTTTAAAGGCCAGAATATCTCGGATTTTTGCTGACGACTTGGTGTTGATCTCATGTTCCAGGAGAAGAGGGATAGAGAAGATGCTACAAACATTCAACTGGTTCTGCACATGCATCGATATAAAGCTTACAGCAGAGAAGATGGTTTTCCTTACCAACAGTTTAGACAACTTCGAAGGAGGATTCTGATGGTCCAGGCTTGGTGTCCGTTGCCCACAACTATGCTAGTCACCATGCAAATATTTTTCAAACCTTAATCTGCACTGGTATAAGCACAACAGCATTTAATCTTTACTGCTAGAATTTTTATGATAAGATGCTAAAATGTCCGACCTACTGTTGCTATTGAATATTTAGACAATTTTGTTCTAACATGTTTGCTTTCAAATGTAGTAAATAGAATAAAGATTACATCACAAGGGCCACCAGCAGTATATAGGAGATCATTTGGATTGCAATTTATTTGCTTAAAATGATGACATAAAAAATTCAATTGCAAATAGTAAAACATTATAATCTTAAAACAAAACAAAAAACTAGAAAGCAAAACTTAATCTAAACATGTCAATATGAACAAAAGTGAAAAAATTGATTGTTCTGATGACGCTAGTTCAAGTGACTAACCACCAAAATAAATAACTTGTGGATATATCTGAAGTGCAGATTTTCAACAAAGAACAATTATGGGAGAGATGTTTAGTACCTGCAATCTAATTTGGTACAGAAGCCATGATGCTCTCAAAGGGAGTACTGGAGAAGCTGGACAGGATTCAGTACATAGTTGCCAGGTATATCCTACAACTCCAAAGGCATCAGCTAGGGTAGCAGGAGCCTTAAATGCAGGGCTAATGCCAGTGAAGGATAGGGTCAATATAAAGCTAGGAAACTACGCCTAGGAGATACAGAACAGAAGAAAGACCAAATCCTAAAATCAGTGTTTTATGGTGTGATGAGGTCTCTGCTTGACAAGTGGGCTGTCCAAGTAAAAGCCCTTAAAATAGCGGTGAGGAGCCATATGTTCAATGGCCCAAGAGGTTGTTCAAGAGAAGCTTACAGGATATGGCTGTGGGTAATGTTCTCAACTTGAAGAGAGGCATGTCTTTACTAGCTTCTGCATGACACCCCTTGACACAATCTTCACCAGGTTGATAGACTAGCCACATTTGGGGTCTACCACAATCTTTTCTTTTCTTTTATTTTATTTATATATTTTGATGCTCATATCAATGGGGGTCAAATATTTTGATGCTCATATCAATGGAGGTCATATATTTTCACGCTCATATCAATGGTGGTCATATATTTTGACGCTCATATCAATGGCAGTCATGTACTTTGACACCCATATCAATGGGGGTCATATATTTTGATGCTCATATCAATGGGGGTCATATATTTTGACGATGATATCAATGGCGGTCATATATTTTGACACTCAATCATTGGAGGTCATATATTTTGACACTTATATCAATGGCGGTCATCCAAACCATCAATTTTGTTGGATGTTAGCGATATACATGAATAGATATTTTATTTCGAATTACTTCTCGAATCTTCTATTTATACAAACATTAGATGAGAACCATTACTTCTTTGCTTCTTTAATGAAAAATAGATAAAGATTACTATTATTTTCTGGGAATAGGATTATTGATTTTGAAACAACTTATTCAAATCTGTTATTTGGAAATATTCTAAAAGTATTGCGTTTAGATGATTTTTATTAATCCAATAATCATTCAAAGAAAATAAAATGAGATTTTAGTTTCTGTTCTGCAGAGCTGAATATCCATCTAGTTTAACCCTATTCCCGCTGGGGGGGGTGACTTGCATAACTATTTTTTCTTTTATTTATCAAATAAAAAAGATGATATTTGATGATCGATGATGAAATCGGATTTTAAAGAAAATATTTCATATACTTTCCCCTCCACCCTCCTCACCCCTTATGCAATTTAAAACGGCGTTAAGACATTTCATAGACAGAAAAGATTTTCCATAGGCAAAGAAGATTTTTTTACAAATGATCTTTTTTTCCTTTCTTGTCATCTTTATATTTTAGTTTTAATTTAATTTATTTTATTTTTCTATGAAAAATCTAACCAGTTCATGAAATGTCTTTTTCCATGGTTTATCTTCTATCTTATCACGTATAGGCCATGTGAAGTTTTTCCAATTTTGTGTTGTGGATTTTTGATAGTTCACTCGAGCAAAAAAACTGTTAGTGAAGGGAAACTTTTAAATAGACAGAAAGGTTTTCACAGATCAAAAAGTTGAATTTTAAATTCTTAAAGAAATGATTTTTTTAATTTTTTCGTTGTATCAATGTATTATATATGGGGAGCACTGTATTTACATTATCCCTTGTCTAAGAAAAAAAGAATTTTGTAGATAAAAAAGGAAAATCTTCTCTGTCTATGAAATGTCCTATCTATGAAATGTCTTTCTATTAAATGTCCCAACGCCTTTACAACTTCAAATTTAAAATTGGTCCATACTCTAAGGGCGAGTTCGTCCGAGACTTCATGATTTTATTTGTATTCTACAGACCTCAGCTCAATTTAATCAGGTGATAATTTTAGGGATTTGAATTTCCAATACCCCCCTTCCCCACACTGAAGTTGAAACATTAAAAAGTTAAGTTGCAGGCTTTTTTAAGGTTTTAAAGGGAAAGTCGCATTATAAAATATAAATGCATCTTTATAAACGACATATTTTTTAATTTCAATATCTTATTTTCCAACTTAAAATGTTGTGAATTAGGAATATCCATTCCATACATCTATAACAAATTTACAAATTATTCTTAATTAATAATTATGTAATATATTTTTCCTCATAAAATCTTAAATTCAACATTTCCTAGCATCAGGCATAATTATACAAAATGTTTATTTTTACCAAAATCTTGTTAGTTAATGTTAAGCGTGTCTATGCAATCTACAGGTCAATATACCTTGAATATAATAGAATAGTTATGTAAATTTTGATCGAACTAGGCTTTTAGGGCGCTTCGCGCTCATCTTCTATTTAAATTGTGAACATGTTCTTTTGTTTACATTTTAAAACAAAGAAGAAAAAAATTTGGCGGATTTTTAAAAAAAAATCCGTGGATTTTCAAGAATTTAAATTTTTTTTACAAAATTAAAAACCTTTAAAACACATTTTTTTAAATTTTTATCATTCATAAACCTTCCCTGTGGTCACGTGATGTCCCACAAAAAATTCGGGCCCGATCGGTTCAGCCGTTTTGACGTTTATTGGATACAAACAAACAGACAGACATAGATTTAATGGGGGGGGGGGGGAGGGGAATTGAAGATCTCACTTCTGACTATTTCGTTTAGGAAAATCAATGCAATTAATTTTTTAGATATTTTACCTATTTTTATTACTCAGGCTTTGCATTATGTGAATACTGAGATACTCAACGGGATAGGAGTAGGTAAACATTTTTTGTCAAACAATTAAAATTAAATTTTGATCTGTATTTGTGAACCTGAATTTGCTGAAATTTGTCCAAACGTCAAACATTTTTGGCATTTTTTTATTACAGAAGTCGTCTTTCAAGCATTTTGTTTAGTTGCACACACTTTATCAAAAATTTTTATTTTAGATTTGTCTGAGTGCAGAAGTCAAACAACAAAGGATTGATTTAATTTTAAAAATAAACAAAAAATTATAAATAAAAATAGGCCTCAATTTTTAATAACAATTTTAACGAAAGTTTTCGTGGATTTTTCAATTTAAATTGGTGCATTTTCAAACATATTAAACGTCCATATTGGATTCCCTCTTCATTAGTCTCCCAATGCTGTTAAACTGTGTCATGGGCGGATACTGGGGGGGGGGCCTTTGCACTCCCTGACGGAGATTTCAGAATAGCCTCTCAATAGCACTTAAAGGGAGTGTAAAGGAAAAATGAAATGGGGTATAGGTTAAAACCTGAGAATCTCAGGTTTTGAACGATACCTGTAAGACATCTATCTTATGTTTCTGTCTTGAGAAATTTACATAAAACTGTGTCAAAATTATACCAAAAAGGACATATGTCCGATTTTGTATAAAATTTGTAGCATTAAACAGATCATATTCAACAATTACACAACCAATCTGAAAACTATTATATCCTACAGGAGTCTGAGAATCTCAGGTTTGCTCATATAATATTTTTTTTATATTCCATTTTGCATTTTTAATAGATATAATTGATAATATTATTACATATAGTGGGTATAGTTCGTATTACGTCACAATAACTTCAGCCAATGACAGTGCAGTATCCTTGTCACTTGGTATAGACGAAACACGTGACCAGTATACTGCACTGTTATTGGCAGAAGTACTGGTGACGTAATACGGACTATAAATTGATTAATGTAATAATATTATCAATTATATGTATAAAAAATGCAAAATAAAAATTAAATAATTATAAGAGGAGAAAACCTTAGATTTGGACTTACCTGGGAATAATTGGACTTGATCTTCTTGGCTCTGAACTCCGATAACCTTTATCTTCCGATGAGTATACTCATATGACCCACTGTGATTGATCTATGTTTTACTTTTTGGTCCTGGATTTAAATGAGCGCATAGTCGTTGAAAATTCAACTTATTAGACCACCAGGGCTGGAAACTCTTTTTACCTCCTGGACCCAGAGCTGGGAACTTTTTTAGCGTGGAAATAAAGAGATTAAGCACTGATCCTGAAATTAAAAGTGCACATGTGGATTTCGAGATCAAGCAATCAAGATGATGAGTATCCAACACAAAAGTTCCCAGCTCTGGACTCATTTGACCTTCTAGGTCCTGAAAAAAAGACTAAAATTTGTATTTGATTTTCCTTGGATTTTCAGCTAGTTAAATCAATTCTCTTCAGGATGCTACAAAATTCTGCTCTTCAGATAATATTTCTAAAGAATCTGAGAGTTCAGATAAACTCTCACGTGATGAGCTTACAGATGATTCTAAGAACGAACCAGTTCTGGAAGAGTCAGGTAAATTTTCTTAGTTTAATAATCTCAATTTATGAAATTTTTTTAAATTGTTAACTTTAGGTCCTGTTTCCTTGTCCACCGACTTGCCTAGGCTGACCTACAGCTTTCTTCACCAGATAACAGAATCATTCTCAGATAAACCGGTTTCAGGTATGCACACGATTAACGGGTTGCAGGTTTGCACACAATAAACAGGTTTCAGGTCTGTACACTAAACCAGTTTCATTTATATTAATACTACACAATAAATAGGTTTCAGACTTTTAGGTCTGTACACAGTGAACTGGTTTCTTGTCTTTATAGAATAAACCGGTTTCAGGTCTGTTCACGATAAACTGGTTTTAGGTCTGTACATAGTAAACAGGTTTCAGTGTACACAATAAACCAGTTTCAGGTATGCACACAATTAACTGGTTTCAGTTTTGTACACAATAAACCGCTAACAGGTCTGTAACTGAACCGGTTTCAGGTCAGTAGAGTATAAACTGGTTTTAGGTGTGTATAGAATAACCCAATTTTAGGTCTGTCCACAATAAACCGGTTTCAGGTCTGTACACAATAAACCGGATTCAGATCTGTATATAATAAACCAGTTTCAGGCCTGTAAAGAATAAAACCAGTTCTGCTATGTACACAATAAACTGGTTTAAGATTGGTTCACAATAAACTGGTTTAAGATTGGTTTGCAAAAAACTGGTATAAGATTGGTTCACAATTAACTGGTTTAAGATTGGTTCACAATAAACTGATGGTATAAGAAAGGTTTACAATAAATTGGTATAAGATTGGTTTACAATAAACTGGTATAAGATTGGTTCACAATAAATTGGTATGAGGTTGGTTCACAATGAATTGGTCAAAGATTGGGTCACAATATACTGGTATAAGATTGGGTCACAATATACTGGTATAAGATTGGGTCACAATATACTGGTATAAGATTGGGTCACAATATTTAGTTTACAATTAAATTACAAGAAACTAATTTATATATTTATATCTCTTTATTAGATGTTTCATTAAAACAATATGTTTTCTTATTATTTAGAGGGAGGCACAAAGATAGGAGAAGGTTCTTTTGGTATTGTAAATAAAGGCAGAATGAACGGCCAACTAGGTGAGTTTAAAGGGGCCTGGTGGAGGGGCTGGGATGGGATGGCATATACGAGAGCCCCTGTTTTTTTGGTAGTTATTTTTTATGTAACTGGGGATCCATGTGGAAAAAGCAAAAAGATCATAATGATAAAATTAATAAATGTTAAGATTTTTCTTCTGTATTCATTATTATCATAAGATTTTTCTTCTGTAATCATTATTATCATGATAATTACTCATTAGTATCATTTAGTATTATTAGTATCATATCAGTAGTATCATTAGTATCATAAGTATCAGAAGTATCAATAGTATCTCAAGTAATGTAGGTATCATAAGTAGCATACATTTTGTAAGAATTGTTCGTATCGTTAGTATCGTAAGTATTGTAAGCATCATTAGTATTGTAAGTATTGTTCGTAATGTTAGTATTGTTAGTATAATTAGTATTGTTAGTATCGCTAGTATTGTTAGTATCATTAGTATAGTTAGTATTGTTAGTATCGTAAGTGTCGTTAGTATTGTTAGTATTGTCAGTGTTGTTAGTATCGTAAGTGTTGTTAGTATTGTTAGTATTATTAGTATCATTACTATTGTTAGTATCGTTAGTATCGTTAGTATCGTTAGTATCGTTAGTATCATTAGTATGGTTAGTATGGTTAGTATGGTTAGTATGGTTAGTATCGTTAGTATCGTTAGTATCGTTAGTATCATTAGTATCATTAGTATAATTAGTATTGTTAGTATCGTTAGCATTGTTAGTATCATTAGTATCGTTAGTATCAATAGTATCAATAGTATCAATTGTATCAATAGTTTCATTAGTATGTATGATTATAGGTATCGAGGGTGAGGTTGCTGTGAAGAGAATGATGAAGGGATCAGTTAGAATTGATTCACAGTTTGGAACTGAAATAGGTCAGTTCAAAATCCAGGAGAAAGGCTTTGGAAGCTAATTTGTAAGCTTTTTAATCTTGATTCTTTTTTTATTTTTTATTTTTTATTATCTTGCACAACTTTTGGGTTGCACTCTGATTGTTTTTAGAATGTATGCGGTATGTACAGCATGTGAACCTCCTTCAACTATTGGCGTACTGCAACGACGGACCTGAGCTCTGTCTAGTGTACGAGTACATGGCAAATGGAAATCTTGGAGACAGGCTTAGGTAAAATGTGCTGTATTAGGTAAGCTGTACTGTACTAGGTAAACTGTACTGTACTAGGTAAACTGTACTGTATTAGGTAAACTGCACTGTACTATGTAGGTAAACTGTACTGTACTACGGTGATAGGCGGTTTTATCGATATTGTGAAGAAGACTTTCGAGTTTAACTTTGATTTACATAAAGCTTTTAAACAGCATGGATACACAAAACCATGGAAACAGAGAAAAGCTGTCAATTAAAAAGCTTCTCATTAACTGCTTGTAAACATGAAATTCGAAAAAAGCGTGTAAACAATTAAAAACTAAAATAAAAATGTCATCTTCATTTTATTGTTATATTCGCCTACCGCCTTAGGTAAACTGTACTGTACTAGGTAATCTGTACAGTACTAGGTAATCTGTACAGTACTAGGTACTGTATTAGGTAAAATGTACTGTACTAGGTAATCTGATATGTACTAGGTAAACTGTACTGTACTAGATAAACTGTACTGCACTAGGTAAATTGTACTTTACTGTGAACTGTTCTGTACTAGGTGAAATGTACTGTACTATGTTATCTGTACTGTACTGTGAATTGTTCTGTACGAGGTCAACTGTACTGAACTAGGTAATCTGTTCTGTACTGTGAACTGTTCTATATTGGAAGACAAATCGTACAGTCAATTATGAAGAGGAAGGGCACGAAGGATCATGAATTTTATTTAGATTAGAGCCAGGAGGATCCGCTAAGTATTTGACAGCAGTTCAACGATTAAGCATAGCGGTGGGAGCAGCTGAAGGAGAAATAGCAAATATTTTACCAAACAAATAGAAATCCAACATCATTTCCATATTTACAATGTGACCTATCAAACTATGGCATAGGAAGGCGATATTTAAGCAATCTCATGTGTATTTGATTAATCAAAAAGTTTTAATTGCAGCTTGAACTTGAATGGTTCTGCTCACAATTGTTGTGTTTTGTATTAATTGCACTATTTAAAATCATAGCTTTAGTCTAACTGTCGTCTTCCTATTCCACAGTTTTTGGGTCTCACTGTACAAAGAAATAAAAAAAAATGTACAAATCAAAATAAATGTGGTATTTAATCAAAATTGTAAATTGATCGAACCAATGATGATTTGGGACATTTAGTACAACTAAATTGTTTAATATTCTTTGGGATGTAAAATTTTGAATGGCTGTTTATGCAGGGTTAAGCTATCTTCATAATCATTCACACAGCAAAGTATTAGGTAACTTTCTAATTGATTGAACATTTTTGTATATAAAAATTATAAAAACTATAAATTTTTTTAAGAATGATAAAAGAAATCTATTTTTTAGTGCATCGAGATGTTAAACCGGAAAATATTCTTCTTGACTCTGATCTCAGGAAAAACAAAACTTAAAACAAAAATAAAAATGCACGAAACGATATTTTAAAAAAATTTATAAGATATTTATTTGTGTAACACTTGAAAAAGTATTTTTAGATTTTGGCAGGGGGAGGCGGGGGCGTGCACTTAGAAAAAAACTCTGCATAGTAATTATCACAAAAAAAATTTGTGAAAAATATGTTTCGCGAATTTTTTTTGTGAAACCATGTAAGTTTTGGCGCAAATTTTTCTATTTTCAAATTAAAAAAATATGATTTTTTTTTCGATCAATTCACACTAATTATGTTTTATTTACATCAATAGCTCATTTCCGGAGAATAGATTTTTTGATAAAATTTTGTTTTGTTGATAGACCTAAGATTAGTGATTTTGGTCTAGTTCGGTTAACTGGGGAGGGAGATTTTGGTCTAAGTGTAGATCAAACCAATACCCTCATGGGTACACCACTTTATATGGCGCCGGAGGCAGGGGGGCCCCATTTTATAAAGCTTATTTTAAAGAATAACTAAACTTTAAAATGATTTCTAATTTTATCTAGGATATATTTGAATTCTTGTTCTTAAATGGCAATGTGCTGACAAATGCAATTTTTCCAAATTATCCAGTATTAAGACGAAATTTACATTTTTGAAGGTTTTTATAGAAAGCTTTTGAATAAAGGTTGCTAAAAAAAACATTATATTGGTTATGGTAAATGACATTTATTTCTTTATTTCAAGGTCGGATTGTACTCAACAGGTTTTTCTATACTTAATTTGTGAAAAAAAAATTTTTGTTGAAAGTTTTATTAATTCTTTTCATGAATCACGTCTTAAATATTGAAATATTGCTTTATCTGATCAAATTGACAGCAGCCATCTTTATGGTAATATTCTTAGTTTTTGTTGCTGGTCCATCTATTTAACCCGCTAATAGATTTCAAGATAAAAACATAAAAAATAATTTCACAAATTTTACTTTTTTTTCATCAGGGGAACTTATAAATAAAAAAATCTCTTTTAAAATGTTAATTTGGAGTTTGTATATTGTACTGCTAAAGATGAGAATCAAGCAGCAGATATTGCAGATGTTTTATAAAATATAAAAAAATCTCAGTCATTTTAAGGCAATTTTTTTATTTTGACCTGTAAGAAACCTCTCTTTGGTTATATAAGATACCATGATATAATTTGGCCTGATTGGTTCAGCCGTTTTGACTTTTATATATATAATGGAGCCCCTTTGGTAGGCAATGCGAGGAGAAGTATCAGATAAGATGGATGTTTACAGTTTTGGAGTTGTACTTTTAGAAATCATAACAAGCATCCCAGCAATAGGTAAATTAAACACTTCTTTTTGTTTGATCTGTTATGTTTACTGTGTATGAGTTTAACAGCGCCGGGACCGAAATTAATGCATTAGAAAGGTTGCTGAACTTCCTTCCTTCGGTTCAAATCCTGAATCACCAATTTAAATCAATTAAATTCATTAAATTCCACCCATGTCGAAATAATATTATATTACAAAATATGTCGTACTCTTGAGGATGTACCCGCATAGAACAAGCGACGCTGTTTTAGAGTCTGAAAACGACCCGCACGACCCCAAAAACGGGCGCCGGCCCGACTCTGTTTTAGTACTAATAATAGAAACTGGGGTTGGGACATATGGAGGGGTGCTTGAAGAAAGGGATGGGGAGAGGAATGCTCAAATATTTTAATGGTTTTTGCTCATATTACATATATTTGGTGAAATTTGATATTTTTTTCCAAAACCAGAGGGTCTGAGGAGGTCGGCCCGGCGTCTAAGACTAGGTTTCAGACTCTAAGATTCTACCCGGGTAGAGTTTAATGTGTACAATATTTATGTACTAATTTTACTGTTAGTTTCCACAGCTCTCTATAGGCACTGTTAGCATTTAGAGCAAGTATTTAATTCCACTAGCAATTTTGTTTTTCTTTGAGATTGTACTGATAGAGATATTACTGGCAATATTTTTTTTTGAGATTATAATGACATACATAATACTCCCAATATTGTATTACTTTGAGATTGTAACAACAGAGATATTACTGGCAATATAGTATCTTTTTGAGATTGTATTGATAGATATATTACTATTAATATTGTATTACTCTGAGGAGATTGTATTAATAGAGATATTACTGGTAATATTGCATTGCTTTGAGATTATATTGACAGAGATATTACTGGCAATATTTTATTTCTTTGAGATTTTATGACAGAGATATTAACAAAAATATTGTATAATTCTTTGAGATTGTATTGACAGAGATATTTCTGACAATATTGTATTTCTTTGAGATCGTATTGACAGAGATATTAACGATAATTTTATATTTAATTGACATTGTATTGAAAGAGATATTACTGGCAATTTTGTATTGCTTTGATTTTGTATTGACAGAGGTATTACCTGCAATATCGTGTTTCTTTGGGATTGTCATGACATAGATATTACTGGCAATATTATATTTCTTTGAGATTCTGTTGACAGAGAAATTACTGGCAATATTGTTGTTCTTTGAGATTATATTGACAGAGATATTACTGGCAATATTTTATTTGTATGAGATTGTATTGCAGACATATTACTGGTAATAGTGTGTTTCTTTGATATTGTATTGAGATTGATATTACTGGGAATGTTGTATTGCTTTCAAGCTTTGATATTGTATTGACAGAGATATTACTGGTAATATTATATTTCTTTGAGATTATATTGACAGAAATATTATTGGTTATTGGTTACTTAAACTTTTAGTTATTCTTAAATTTGATATATTTTTAGGAAACAGTAAGACCAACCACCAATCCCTGGTTTCTTATATAGAAGATGAAGACGATATTTCAGGGAAAATATTGTCAAGTTCCCCTTATTTTCTTTTTTTAAATTTTGTATTAATACAAGGCTTTCAGCCCAACTTCTATTTCAATTGGATCATTTTCTTTAGTATGCAATGTAAAAACAAAAACAAAAAAGTTTGCGGATTTTATTTTAAAAAGCGTGGATTTTCAAAATTTGATGAAAATTGAATTTTGTTGCTGGTTCTCATCATCCATAGCCTTTCCCTGGGGTCATGTTAGGTCCTACACAAAATTTGGGCGATCGGTTCAGCCGTTTGGACGTTTATTGGATATAAGCAAACAGACAGACAGACAAGAAACGTATTTATGTAGACTAGGCTTTTAGGACGCTTTGCGCCTATCTTATATTTCAATTTTGAACGTTTTCTCTTTGTATACATCATAGAAAAAAAATAAAATAAGTAAGCGAATTTCATACAAAGATATTGTGGATTTTCAAAATTTAATGAAAATCAAATTATGTTTGAGTCAAATTTTTTTAATTTTGATCATCCATAAACTTTCCCTGGGGCTATGTGAAATCCTTCACAAAATTTGGGCTCGATCGGTTCAGCCTTTATGGTGTTTATTGGATACAAACAGACAAGTAAAGTATATATATTAGACCTTATTATTGGCCAATTATCTTTTAATGGCATTAAGGTAAAAAAAAAACACTTAAATGATTAAATATCTTCTTCTCAAGTTTTAAAAAAATAATGGAACAAATAAACCCTCTGAAAGGGTAGCCCTTATTCTGCATATATTTATTAAAGATCCTACCGCTGTTAATTTTTCAAAAATATTTGTCATTTTGTTTGTTATAATGTACTTGATATTAAATTCTGTAGACCTAATGGACCGTGCATTTTCCGAGGTTAGTAGTATATCTCCTAAATCTATACTTCTGGTAGCGCAACAGTGCCTTAACTTGTAAGTAAATTATGCAACATTAACGCCAGAGTTTTTTTTCATTGTTTTTGTCAAATTTGGGTTTTCATTGTTTTTCTTAACAAAATTAAGACTGCATATTNTCTCAGAATTTAGGGATTTTTTTCAGGATTTTATTTTATAATTCAATTTTTGAGTAAAAAGTATCAATAAGGATGAAATAAACTTGCCTTTTGTTTCCCCAAGAAGATTATCAAAGTCTGTATATGTAAAGATTTTGTAATGAATAAAATAAATTAATAAAAAATTATGATTTTCATATTTTCATCATTGATAAATACAAGTTATTTGATTTTATACAACTATTCTTTTGTAACAGCCACATGAAAATCCTGTACTTCTCAAATTTTATATCCATGCTGTTGGCTGATTGGGGCTTAAGTTATCCAATGATAAACATTTTAAACTTATTTTTAAATTATGAAAATACTGTTTTATTCCGAGCTTTATTTTAAATCATTATAGAAATCATTAAGCCATAAATTGTTAAAATATGCTTCCCATCATTTCAATAATTTTACCAAAAAGTTAAGGTTTTGTCAACACATGCATTTACTTTTATTTCAGTTTTTTCATCTTGCAAATTTATTTTTTTCACATGTTTCCAAAAATATTTAGGAACCGACGGAAAAGACCACCAATTGAAGATGTGAAATGTCAACTGAAACTACTGATGTAAGTTAAATCTATTAAAACAGATGATACTGTCCCTACTTGTTTAAAAACTGTTTTAATCTAATGATAGCCATTTTTATGTTAATGAGCAAGTGGAATTATATCAAGGTAGTAAGCAGGCAATATAGTTTATTATGATCATTAAGATAAATTAAAGATAACAAAAACAAAATACATAATTTTAGAAAGATTATAAAACTTTAACAACAAAAAAAACAATGAACTGTTCAGTATATTCCCTTATGGTCATGCTGGTGTTCATGTCCATGTTTGTGATCAGATGCATGTTCATGCTTGTGATGGTGGTGGTGGTGGTGTTCATGAATGTGTGAATGCTTGTGCTCTCCTTCATGTTTATGCGCATGTCCATGCTCAGCTTGATGTTGGTGAAGATGTTTGTGCCCGCTTTTGTGTTCATGTTCATGACCATGTTTGTGTTCATTGGTATGACTGTGACTATGACTGTGCTCTCCTTGATGCAGATGAGCATGTTTATGTTCTGATGAATGCTCATGTCCATGAGCATGTTGATGTGTGTGATTTGCATGAGCATGGTGGTTATGGGAATGAGCATGAGCATGGCTATGATTTGCATCATGAGCATGTTTATGGTCATGTGAATGATCATTTGTATGTGCATGTGAATGTTCATGAGTGTAAACATGACTGTGAGATTTCTCTTTGTCTCCACCTCCTCCCAGGAAAGTATGGGAAATAATTTTCTGCATGTCTAAGTTTGAAAGCCCATCAGCATGGTAACTGTTAAAGGGTGGAACTATGGCCTTATCATGCATCTCATTGTTCAATGCTTGGATCTGCGCAATGGCTTCTGGCTCGTGTACTGAAAGCTGCATTGCTTCCACAGAGGTGTGTTGTGATTGGGAGTTAGCATTGTGTTTTGCTAGAAGCTTCTGGTACTGTTCCTGAGTTAACTCTCGCTTTTGACTTAGTTGGGTTTGAAACTTCTTGGGATTGTAACTCTGGCCTGGAAGAAGTCCTGTTGTTTTTCCCTCTTTTACCTCATTCACAGGGGATTCTGAGAAAAGAGTTACAATTACAGGGGATATAGTCATTTATGAAAAATAAGTTAATTTCCAGTTTTTTTACTCCAGTATAGTAGGAATATTTAGTATTCAGGCATAGCAAAAAAAAATTAAATGCATATTTTCACTGAAATTGGTAAAAATAATGTAGTTTGGGTTACAAGGTATCAACAAAAAAGGGAAACAATATGCTGTCAAATTCAGTTGATGTCCAATATTTCATTTTTCCCAAATCTTTAATATTAATTACATAAAAATGGGGCGGGGGAGAGATAACTCTTCAAACATTTTCCCTGTTTCTATTATTCATAAAATAAAGAATATTACTTACCAGAGGTGAAGCTAGGAGGCTCATTTAACAAAAATCCTTCTTCTTCGTCTTCATTTGATTCAGAATCCCAGTTCATTCCCTACATCAAACCAATATTATTTCCATACTGAATATATTATCAAGATATTTTACCTGGAAAAATTGATCTTTTCCAAATCCATCGAAGAAATCATCCACTCCATCATCATTTTGGATGTTTAGCCCCTGGAAGGCATCTTCCGGATGCTTTTGATTAATAGCAGTTCCAAAGCGTTGTTGATATGGAACATCTCCGGGAAGGGGATATTCTAACTCCTGGTAATCTTCATCTTGGAGAAACATATTGTTGATTTCTGGCATTCCAGGTTGGAATAAGGAGTCAGAATAACCAGGGATGTGTGGAATATTTTGGTAACCCCCTCTAAAAAATAATCTGTTAGATAATTTAATGGACTACTGTAATATCAATATGATAAATTGAATATTTAGATCTTCAGTGGAAAAAAAGCACAAAACATGATGCTTCGTTATTGATCTGTTTTCCTGAAAGCTTTAAAATATTTTTCTTTCTTTTTTTTATAAAATAATAATGAAAGCTTGCATTGAATCATATTCTGCTGGGGTTAGATTAAGTATTTTTGTTTTCAAGGTAAGGCAAGGAATACCTTTTTGTTAATGGGTCAATGAAGGTGCTGGGCTGCTGATATGGATTCAATTCATCAGACAAAGGTTCATAATGTCTTCCAATCCTCGACTCCATTTTCTGGTTTACCTTCTCAATGATTAGAAAATATTACTTTTTAGAAAACATTTTGTAAGGGTTACGTTCTAATAAATTCTAAATTGTAAAGGCCTTATGGAACCTTTCCTGAAGCTGTTACGAATGATACATCATTTGAAACCTTTGGGAATGAAGGTGGAACCATTTTGCATATTTGATCAAAAGAAATCTAACTTATTTCTTGTGATGAAATATTAATTCTTTACCTGATGGTTTACTAATTTAACAGGCTCAAAGACAGGAAGTCCTTGATCTAAAAAAATAAACATGACATTTTTGATAAAAGATATGAAAAAATTTAAATAACATTTTTTACAAATTAAATATTTTTGTTTTTATTAATGCGGAAGGTTTTTATTGCCTTGAGAATGAATAGCCCCCCAGGGTTGATGAAAAGCAGTTGTAAAAGCTGTAGAATATAGGATGACCAGACCCAACCTCACCAGTTCACCCATCTTTATTGTTTTTATCTGCAATATATTGGAAGATTTCTTTATTTAAATCTTCTTTTATAGAAGGCCTTAAAGGGTTGACAACCATACCCTCTAGACTAGAACATTGAAGAGATGAGATCATGGGTTAAAAGCCTTCTAATGAAACATTTACAGAGCCCCATGTTAACAGTTTTTATTTTTTGCGGATTTTAAATTAGTATCTTTTTTAAAAAAATATGACAAATGTTAACATTTTTTTTGGGGGGTGAATTTTTCAATTTTGACTTTCCTTGGATCATACTAATTGGCTCAAAAATGTAGGCCTTAAGGGGTTTTCCAGTTTTGGAATAATGTATCAATACTAGGCTTTTAGGGCACTTAGAAGCTTTTTTATTCTTATCAATTTTAGTATTTAATTGTTGCACAAAAAGACGCTTTTTTATGTTTTGCAAATTGTTCCAGAGTTTTCTTTTTGCATTGGCGCATTTTCAAAAATAATAAATATCCACATTTTTTTTTCTGACAAATTATATATTTTCTAAAGTCATGTGAATTGCCAGAAAAAAATGTCAATTATTTTTGGTCAATACAAAATATAGGAAGCTTCTAGAAACGTATTAATAGATAATGGTTTCTATGAAAATTTATTTGAATGATATGATAATAAAATTAAAAACAAAATAAAGAGAATAATAATAATTATCCAATGACAAATGCAAGAATTAATCAGATATGTTAAAGATGCTTTATGATATTTCAATAAAAGTATACTTTCTAAATGAAAGAAGATTCTTAGATTTGATCGGTATTAAATGTAGAAAGTTATTCAAAAGCGTCAGTGATAAATGTTAGAAGTTTTATAAGCAATGTAAAATTAAGATTGTTTTAAAAGAATGCATCGTAAATTTAAGAATTTCTAGGAAAGCATTTATGTTAAAAAAAAATCTTTTTCAAAATATGTATTGGTAATGTCAGTCTTAAATTTTTAATTTTACTTGAGGGAGGGTGGACTTTTGATTTAATAAATATTAAAGGTGTTGATGTTAGTGTCATGGTAAATGTAAGAAACCACATATTTCCGCCATCTAAAAAGCACCCTTCCTTGTAAGTATTTATATATAAAGGCAGTTTAACTTTCTTTTGGGATGATTTATTTCTCTAAGGAAGTTTCATGCTGTACACGATATACTTAAGTTATGGTGGTTAAAATTCTTGTATAAACAAGTTCAGTTCTAGGGCACTAGCAAGGAGATATTGAATAGAAGGAGGGGGCGATAGGATTTCCGTACACTTTGCTGTGACGTTTTTGGACTGCTGAAGAACTAGTTTATACGTAACAACAATATAAAGATTGTAAACAATAACATAAATGATAAAGGGGGGGGGGGCAGGATAACCTTGAATTTGATTGAAAATGTCTCTGTAATAAAACTAAAATCCTTAACTTTTTCAATCTTTTTTTTGACAAGATTATACTACTTTTACAGTTTACTAACTCATGTTTGTTTACATTAGAGCGGCTGCCTTTGTTATAGTTGTTAAGCAAAAACTAGTTCTTCAGCAGTCCAAAAACGTCTCAACAAAGTGTACGGAAACCCTATCGCCACCTCCTTCTATTCAATATCTCCTTGGGCACTAGGATCATATGACCGTACGTATACAATGTACTGGCAAATGGCCTTAGAAAGCATCACACAAGAAAGTTAAACTTCTCTTTAAAATAAGAAATACTTACAAGGAAGGATGCTTTTGGATTGCGGAAATATAGTGCAATCTGAAAATATTCAAACAAAATGGTAAAAATTGGTAGGTAGCAAAGAGTTATAATGTAAAGATAGTTATTTCCAAGGTACTAATGCAAGGAAAGTTAATTGCGGTCGCGTATACTCTGCGTACATATTGAAACCAGTTCTCGCTGGGTGGAATTTGAAGACAAAATAGATGCATCAGTGTTCCATGTCCATGTCAGGCTGTGACATCCGTCTTGTGTTTACTTTTCCGCCCAACGACAGTATACTGCAGTACACAAAATGTGAACTCTTCTGAAATAACTTTCCTCGCATTATTACCTTGGTTATTTCAGAGTTGTACGATTTTTTTTTACTGCAGTGTACTGTCTCTGGCCTGTAAAGTAAACACAAGACGGATGTCTTAGCCTGACCATGGATCCAACTTTCACATAAAAAAATCAATAAAATATTCTGGTCAAAGGAAATTATAATGTGAATTATCAAAATTATCAAAATTAAATGCTTATACTCTCCTCGGATACTAGAGGAACACTATTCTTGTTTTCAAACACAGCCCACAGTGCGAAGCTGACCTGTGTATTTTTAATTGAAAAGTAGTCATTTTTTACGACCACCCATTTATAGAGGGGTCATTCCAATTCACAACAAAACCCTTTGTATGATAAAAAATCTACGTTTGAATTTTGGGGTAAATCGTATAAAAAACGGTCGTCTTTCCTTGTGTCTGGAATTGTTGTCGTCGTATTTTGTGGTTATCTTATATAGAGCATCACATATTATATCAGAGCTGAGAACTTTAGAATGGGATATCCTTAATCCCGATCGGTTAATAAATCTGGAGATTAATAACAAGAGAGCAAGCATTATTTAATCTCTAGATTAAGAGAAAGAGTGGATCAAGCATTAATCCCAATATCCACCATTCAAAAGTTCCCAGCTCAGATTATCTCCAAGCTTTAACACCAAAAATACGCACATAATGCACAATAAACCTAGTATTTTCTGCATGCAAATTTTATATACAATTTTTTTAAATGATTAGTTCTTTTCAAGATTTTCTGATTAGTCCCGGAAAATGTTAAAGCTATAAAACGATCCAATATGATGAGGGACACCCGGTTTATGAAATATTGATTTTAATAGAAACGATTTTATCTGAAAATGTAGTTTAGAAATAAATTATTCACACGTAGCAGATCCTTTACGAAATTTCGTAAGTAAAAGCGCAAAAAAGACAATAATCATTCCACAGGTTTGTAGTAACCCCTGTATCTCCAATGGCCCTTATATGAATGTAAAGCTGACGTAAACTGAATAAAACATGGCTCTCCCTGACTTTAAATACTCAGCCATGGAGATTAACCCTGAATCTCAGTCAATTGTGAAATTGGACAAAACTCTTAGAAATCCTAGAAATCAAACTTGAACTTCCGCTGCAATTCTTGGTTCCAGTCTCCTGGGGTCGGTAAAGGGACTGTTGACTAAATTACAAGTGACATTCCTGATTCACAAGTGTACCCTTTACACATTTATCTCAGTAACAATGAGGAAGAAATTGTCGTTTTAATAAAAAGTACAATTCTGTAAATTTTCCTTCCTTGACTCTCTTACATAACAAATTTCATAAAGAAAAAGAAAACCTCTCAAATCTTCAAAATAAACTAAATTTCCTTACTGTGATTAATGTTATAAACAGTATCTACTAAATACGAATCATGGTTAGAATAAAAGGTTTAAATGAAAGAAATGTATTTTGGTAAAAATGGTACTGCTTAAATCTGCAGAAATCGGACCAAACATATTTCACCACTTTATTGAAATGCCAGGTCTAGGAGAATTATGTGGTAATTGTTTTAAGAATTACGAATGTTCAAGTAAGTTGACGAATGAATGTCACAAATAAATTCAGATATCAAAGACGACTTTCCAGTCGTCTTGCTACACCCTGGGACACCCTGTATAATTACGCTTTTTCTTGTGCCTTTTATTTACAACCCCACTCCCCCTCTCAGTTTCGATAAAAAGAAGGCAAATTCATAATAATATTTTATTTAGTATAGTATATAATTCGTTTTTTAAAATAAAAAAAAACCGGGTTAATATTTTTTTTTAAGTTAAAGGGACTGTTTGCGTAATTTAAAGTGACCTCCAAGTAAATATGGCCGATTCAATACGGTACCCTTGAAAAAATGTTTACGATATTCTCATTTTACAATTTTAATATTATTTACTTTTGATAATTCATATATGTTTAGAAACCACAATTCAAAATAATAAGTTTTCCAAATTACAAACTTGGATATCCAATTCATATTTGATCAGAATTTTTTTAAGGGACCGTTGTGGACCGGGCATTGTCAGTCTTACGTACATGGAGGGTCGCTTAAAATTACGCTTACAGTCCCTTTAAGTTTCAGATTTTTTTGATAATTTTGTTCTCCGCGGGGCGGCTGCGTGAGCCTGCGTATGGTCTACACGCCTTTCTTTTCTCTTTCTTTTCCTCTCTCTCGTCCTCCCCTCTCTATCTTTTTATTCTCTTCTCTTTCAAATATTGAGAGAAAGAGNCTCTATCTCTCTCTCTCTCTCTCTCTCTCTGTCTCCAGCTGTAAGAGTCCTCCTAGTGTACTTCTCCTGAGCAGCCTCTGTATCACAGGCTTGAGTCTCCCGATATATTTAAACAGAAACCATCACCAGCTGCTAGACTCTCACACTAGACTTGAATATAATCGCAATCCAGTTACAGATTATGATATAAGGTTGACCCAGTGAATATAGAGTGGTGTAGGCCAGCTATTAGTGTCGTGGTGGACTCATTACCCAGTAGATCTAGGTTATATTCATAGGTTTATGTAAGTTATATTCACTTCCTAGTTTCTTTCTCTAGTAAACTCTCTCTTTCGCTCTCTCTCTATCTCTCTCTCTTTTAAGTGCATGAAAAGTAATGAGATCTTTAAAAATGATTTATAGATTATATGGTTGATATTTTCTTATAGGACTTAGAGACCTTTAAGATGTGATGCTTTTTCAATCCTGGCGGATTAAATATACCTTCTAATTTCTCTTCAATCCTGGCGGATTAAATATACCTTCTAATTTTTTTTTCTCTTGAAATACTGTTCTTAACAATCCCCCACACTTTTGCAACTTTAGGAGGTATAAACTTATAAATAGAAGAAAAAGAATAGGAAAAGGAAGAAAGTTCTGATTATTTTTAGATTACCAAAGAAACAACGCAAAGAAATATCATACTCAACATAACAATTCCAGATCCGGATCCTCAATTAGAAAACAGATTCAGGATAATTTGTTTAAATTGTTTAACATACTATTTTCAGACAAAAATAAAGTTTTGCGGTTCAAACGTTTGGAGTTTTTTCCAGGTAAAAACTTTTTTCGTATCATTTTTATTTGTTTTGGTAAACACGGAATACATTTCTTAAGCTTAAATTATTATTTTTCAGCATATTATTGCTGTTNTTTAACGAAATTCACTTATGCTTCTTATGAAAATATTTTGCTTAACTTTAATGATTTCACAACAACGAAAATATTTTAAGCTCCGTCGGAGGAGGACAATGGAATTTGCGGGCTGAAAATTTGGTTTGGCTGTCTCCGACAGGAGATTCCAGTAGAAGACGACATTTTATAGAGGTTTTGAAATTAATGGTTAACAATTTGTTATATCATCATTTTATAACTATTTTATTTTTTCTAAATAATGTTGATTGACTTACATGCCGAATACTGCATATAAGGCATTTTGATGAAAATACATTAAATACAGTAAGAGTAAGAAGACCTATGAAACTGTGGAATAGGAAGACGATTCAAGTTATTATTTTTAAATATTCCCAAAATCATGAAATACATCAACTGTGCAATGTTTGCAGACCCATTTCACTAAATAATTTGATTTTTAAGGTACTTGCGGAACTTTCCGTTTAATAACGCAAAAATTAATAAACTGTCGTCTTTCTATTTTCCAGGTTTATGGGTTTTATTGTCGGTATCAACGAATATCAATTAATGAATCATATTTTAGTTTTACTCCTAATCTTCACAAAAATCCGATACGTTTTCTCATTCTAACATAGATCTGTCAGTTTGTTGTTATTACATTGGCATTAACACTTTAACTAAGGAGTTATTACATTGTACAGCATTAACACTTTAACTAAGGAGTTATTACATTGTACAGCATTAACACTTTAACTGAGAATGCAGGCTCGTAGCTAGAAATTTAGATTTAAAATATGTACTCGTACTTTTACATTACAAGCTATTTGAGAGATATTTTTATAAAGTTTTTCCGTTTCTCAAAATGGTGGATTGATTTAAAACCTAACATTTTCACGTACAAATAAAAATTGCCAAATCATTCAATGTTGATAATTTTTTAAATTGGAATAAAGATGACATTTTTACAAATTAAGATCAAAATGTGTCCCTCTTTTCCCCCCTTTTCTATTCTTTTTTCCCTTTCCGTTTTCTTCTTTTCAATTTTTCTTGTCTTCTTTTTTGTCTCGGATAATGTGCCCCCCCCCCCCTTCTGGGAGAATGGGGGGCAATTACCCCTGCGCCATTCTTGCTACAGGCCTGAAACAATGTAAGACTAAACGAAAAAACGATTGGTGAAGTTCTGTTGTTTGATAAAGTATGTTATTGTAAACTAGCTTGGGAACCCAGCGTTGCCCAGGGTAGTCATAGTTAGTTCCGTTTACCCGCTTTGTCGTAAATTACGGTTTTAGCTATTTAGCTATTTATAGACACACTCAACTAAGAATCTTTAAACCAAGCTAAGAACATTCCCGTGGTTCTCCCAAGTTCCCATTCAACATTTAATGCGAATCGGTCCAGGGGTTCCTGAGTTATGATCGGTCAAAAAAACAGACAGGCAGACAAACAGAAATTACAACTTTATATATATAGATATTTAGCATAGATTGATTAAAGCAGATGCCTTGAACTAAAAATAAACCAATAAAGCCAAGCTACAAAGAAATTGTCTAATTTTCTAAATTTTATTTTGTTTTGTTTCAAGTTGAGGTATGTGGGTAGATGTAACAACATGGAGTGCTGTCTGACATTGCAATGGCCACTGGTAAGCGAGCTTATTTAAATTTTAATTTTTTATGCTGTTTTATAAAATTAAATCTAATAAATATAACCGGAAATATTAAGATGGTACACTGAACTCTTCCTGAACGGTATCCCGAATCACTATTTGTAAAAAACCTCAAACTTTTTTTACAGAAATCCTCCGACAATTTTTTACAGAAATCCTCCGACAATTTTTTACAGAAATCCTCCGACAATTTTTTACAGAAATCCTCCGACAATAGTTTCTTGTCGCTAAAAAAATGTTAAGTCGTGTTTTGCAGAGATAACCAAATATGAAGGTCGTCTTTAGTCATCTTATTTAATTTACGAAAATAAAGCAAAAATTTGTAAGTAGTAAGACTTAAAAATAGGTGTATTCCTACCAGAAACTGTAGTACACTTTTGTGCATTCACAGTCATCGGAATTATAATCTTTATTTTTGAAAATTGAAGTTTAAACCTTTTCAATTTTGTACCTTTTAGTTTTATAACATGGTAATTATCATTATTACTTTGTATAGCGTTTTTTATCAGAATAAAAAATCCATATTCATATTCATAAAAATATTCATGATTTGTGTTAAAAGCTTCAGAGGTGTAGTTGGGGGGGTGGCTATGGGGGAAAAGCCCCCCCCCCCGGACCAAAGGAATCTATTCATAAAAATATTCATGATTAAAAGCTTGTTCTTAATTTTTTTCCGAACTTAAAAAATGAAAAAGGCGAGGAAATCCTGGAAATAATTATAGTTGAATGTTTAGATCAAGAGATTTGCATGGGAGGAGAGCACGGGCACTCCTTTGTGAAGAAGACTTTTACCAGGAAAACAATTTAAAACTTGTTTAGTAATCTCAGGGTATACTGGTTTAAGGGTCCCCTGGTTTAAGGGTCCAAGTGAATCCTGGTCTAAGGGTCCAAGGGTCTCCTTGTCTATTGGGTCCCTTGTTCTAAAGGTCCAAGGGTCCCCTCGTATAAGGGTCTTAAGGTCTAAGGACCCAAAGGGTCTACTAGTTTAAGGGTCCAAGGGTCTCCTGGTCTAAGGATCTAAGGATATCCTGGTCTATGGGTCCAAGGGTCCAAGGGTTTTCTGGTTTAGAGGTTGAATGGTCACCTGGTCTAAGGGTCCAAGGGTCTCCTGAATTAAAGGTCCAAGGGTCTTTTGGTCCGGAGGTCCAAGGGTATCTTGGTTTAAGGGTCCAAGGGTCTCCTTCCCCCTGGTCTAAAGGTCCAGTGCTTACCTGTTCTAGGGCCCTTGTGCTAAGGTCCAATAGTTTCCTAGTATTAGGGTCCAAGGGTTTCCTGGAATAAATGGTTCATGGTCTAAGAGTCCTACGGTCTCCTGGTCTAAGGGTCCAAGGATTTCCTGGTCTATGGGTCCAAGGGTCTCCTGGTTTAAGGGTCCAAGGGTCTCCTGGTCTAAGAGTCCTAGGGTCTCCTGGTCTAAGGGTCCAAGGGTCTCCTGGTTTAGAGGTCCAAGGGTCTCCTGGTCGAAGGGTCCAAGGGTCTCCTGATATAAGGGTCCAAAGGACTCCTGGTTTACGGTTCTCCTGGTCTAAGGGTCTCCGGGTCCAAGGGTCCAAGGGTCTCCTGGTTTATAGGTCCAAGGCTCTCCTGGTATACCTTTCTGAATTTTTCATTCTAATCTACGGAATGAATGAGAAATTTTCGGTTAAACACATATTTGGGTAACGTATTAAGATATAAAATAACAGGTTTTATTTTACAAATTATTATAATAATTTCAGATTATTGCAGCCTGTATAAAAAAAAGTTTCTCCTCTCTTTCGTTTTGAATTCATTTCCGTGATGGCGATTTTTTAATTTTGTAATCTTTAAACATTTTACAGGGTTAGATGATTATCTGGATCTATCAACGTAATTTAAAGCGTTACATGACACAGGATTTTAGCAAGGGGGGCAGAGCCCCCCTTACGTAGAAAATATTGTAATTTTGGTATGAAAACTAGTTTTAGCTTGACCCTAATGTTACAGTGAAAATTCGATTTCCCCTTAATTTGATGTTTTGTATGGTTCACAGAAAAATTTTCATAGTTTTTATGTCAAGTACTACAATGTTGAATGACGCTAAATGTTGATAATTTTGATATTATTTATTTTCTTCTTTTGTTGCACAAATTACTTTTATAGAGAGTTGCGCATTTTTTTGGTAGAAAAACTCTTATATACTTTGTTCAGATAAAGGATTAAAGCATGGTATTATGAATTGCGGACATGAAGGTCGAAGGGATATTTATAATACGTTTCAAAAGATAATGATGTTGTAAACATAAATCATGAATGGGGGTTGGCTATTCGACACTTTGTGACATCAAATTTTGTTTAGGATGCGTTTGGTCCTAATAGTTGAGATAGGTGACCTCCAAAATTTGCCTCTGGAGGTCGAAAAATAAAATCAATGAAAATAAGTAATGTGAGGTATCAAATCAAAGGTTTTTTTTGGTGTTCCGATTCCACTCTAAAACCTGTTTTGGAACTATTTAAATCTGAGAGTCTTTAATGTTTTTGATCTTCAATAAGTTTGATCTCAGAAGGTCAAAATTACACCATGAACAATTATCATGTTAGGTATTGGTTTCATCCCGCTCTAAGTTCATTCTGAGGAGCCTTTTTGACTTCAAATTAAAATAAAGAAATGTAGATTGCCATGTAATTTTAGACTGCATGCAAAATGTCAGCGTTCTATCTCAATTATTAGGACCAATTGCAGTCTGTACAAAATCTGTTGTCACAAAGTGTGGAGTTGCCCGCCCCCCCTCTTAAATATCTATTTACCCTGAATTCTGGCACTGTTTATCTAGTTTTTTTTAATGCAGCTTGTTTCTCAGGAAACATGGTTTTTGATTTAATTTGTTTTGAACAGGCCGACAAACTGTCATCAGTGTACAGAGTATGTTTGGGGGCTGGTTAGCCAGGGGTTCTTCTGTGAAGGTAATATTTAGAAGGAGAGGCGCAACTGAAGGGTCAGGGGTGTGGGGGGGGGGGTGATGTACAATATTCTAGGAATAATTTGAGAGTTGATTTTTTGGGGGGGAAAATCCTAAAGTTTTAATTTTCTCAGATAAAACCATGTCATTTTTAAATTTTTCCCTATTTTTGACATGAAAATTGCGCTTTTCCAATCTCAGTGCCCTTGGGGAAGCAATGTGAAGTTTTAGGACGGACAACACCCCCACCCAACACACCATCATTCAAATTTTCTAATCTCTATGTCTTTGCTACCTGATGGTGTAAACCTTTGATATTTCAAACTTAGATTATTTGATCTAACAGAATTCAGTGTTTGAAATATCTCTGGTCTTAGACGTTGGGTTGCAAAGATATATGGATTGAAAAATCAGTTTGTGTCAAAGACTCATTTCCTTTGACAGCTGAATACTTAACCCCATGATTATGGCAAATTTTTTACATTTAGATTAATATAATCATTTTAGTTGCCTATCTAGTATCAGCCTTTATGGCCTTTTATATGAGCAAATTTATAATTTCAACTTGACTTTTTTTAATTTTTTAAACATCTTTAACCTCTCTTTTCCCCCCACCTAAACAAGTTTTTTACGTCCAACAATGTCTGGAACGGCAAAGTTTAACATTTAAAAAAAATTAGATTCATTTACTCCTCTCAATATCTTTTTTTTCAGTATGTAATTTCTTGGTTCATGAGAAGTGCATTAAAACGATCGGAACTCCGTGTGTCGGGCTAGCAGCAAGCCTAGTAAAGGTAACATTTGTTTCCTTTGATTCCACCCAACAGAGGGACATAAAGTTACTTTACGAATAACGTCCCTTGGGAAAATTGAGTAAAATAAACACCCGCACTAAAAGTTGCTGTGAAAAAATTTGCAGTTTTCATACAAAAAGACGATTAAATTTTGTACACTTACTTTTCGGGAATTTAAAAATTGTACTCGACCTGCTGCGCTCTGGATGTTTTGTAGGCAAAATTGGTCTTGGGAACCCTTGGTAATGTAAAAATCACTGTAAAGTAAAAGTAAAGTAAAGTAAAAATCACTGTAAAGTAGTTGTAAACAATCAAAAAAATCTCTCCTCCTCAAAATATTTTCCCCAGTACATTATTAAGAAAGTTCAGTTTTCTTTGCTGAATTAGGTAAAATAAACTAATTTTTGGTTAAAATGTATAAAAAAAAACTATATAATTATTGTCAATTTTTCTTTCCCCATCGTTTTTGAAAATAAGGGAAAAATGGAAGGTTAGTTATTCAAAATAAATATTAAATACCCCCTATGCTTTTGAGTTTTTCTTTGTTATAAAAAGTTGAAAATGGTAAATTGGATTACCAATTGATTTGGATACTTATTCATTTATTCACTTATAAACGTTAACCTCTTATTCACTGATACATACATTCACCTATTCACTCGTTCACCCATTAACTCATTGACTCTCTCATTTACTCACTGACTTACTCACTATNATACTCATTCATTTATTCACTTATAAACGTTAACCTCTTATTCACTGATACATACATTCACCTATTCACTCGTTCACCCATTAACTCATTGACTCTCTCATTTACTCACTGACTTACTCACTATCTCACTAGTTTTGTAATTAATTAATTATCTATTTGCTACTTTTTTAATAGAAAGTTATCCCCTTCCCTTTCACCTTCTGTTCCTCCTATATTCCCAAGAACCCACCCCCCTCCCCTTCCGCCCACCTCTATGATTTTCCACTTAAGAAATTATCCCACGACTCTTTTTTCAGCAAATTAAACTCCCACCATTTCCGATCATTTTCTCGTTCTAACTATTCCTTTTTCTTCAATTTTGAAAACATATATGATTTGATTTGAACACCCCCCACCCTCCCTGCAAGGAGGTACTCCTAAGATATTTTTTAGAGACGCACAAGAAAGTGACTGAGATATATTCCTTTTCAAAAAAATGCAATCTATAGTGATAATCTCCTAAAAAATGTTATATGGCCTTGTATAAATGTAATTGCCTCCTAATATAAAAAAAATAATTCATTATTCTACTACTTGATCTTACCTTAATTCTAGAGTTTATGACTTATTTAATTGATTAGTAGATTTGCTTTTTGCACAATTCAATGATTTTTTACCATATCACTTAACTGATTTTATTTTGAAATTAATGGAATACATAATTGCCTAATTGCTTTACACGAAGGTGTAACTGTGCAATATGAATTTATGTAAAGTAAGCTAGAGGTATTATTGGACGCTACCCTGAAAATCTTGGTCTGAAAAAGTAGGGAATAGAAGCTCATATTTTTGTTTCTTTAAACTTTATATTTGCATTATATCCAGGTTCTCTGCAGAAGTAAGGTTTTAATCTAGGTTTTAAGGGCCTAACGTTATAATTAAATCGGGCATCGCCATCTCTGCAAGGAGGGTCACTTAAAATTACGCTGACAGTCCCTTTAATGGTTATCTTAGTGCATATAGAGGCGGTACTATCTTATCCCTATTAAAGAGTCAAACGGATCGTTTAAATATTTACACCTTGATTGACATATTTTTGTTGTATAGAACCCTGTTGCCCACTTCTGGTCTGAGGAGAAGTCAATCAAGGGTAAGTTCTGTAATGTCTGCAGAAAGAAGATCCATGAAGCACCTGGCCTGCATTGTGAAGGTAAGGAATTTAGAATATAAAAACCTTATTTTGCAGAAAAAGTTGGATGTTGGCCTAATAAGCGAGAAAAATCGCTTTTTTTCAACAAACATCGCTTTTTTGATGGTCATCCTACTTTTTGCTGCTAAATATGCAGTTTAAAATAAATATAAGCGATTTTTGTTGACTATAAGCGATTGTTGTCGTTTATTTTGCAGCCTTCAAATTTTTGCTGCCAAATCAGCGATTTTTATTTACATAAGGATATTTTATTTTTTCAAAGAGCGGGTCGGTTGTAGCGGCACCCCACCCTAAAATTTTGCCCCTTAGAGTTTTCAACAATTTCTATTATTGAAAGGGTTCAATTATGTTCAAAATTTTGTTGACTATAGCCTTTAAGTTTGTACATTGAGCAATTAAATTTTTTATATAGGGTCCCTCAAAACATAACAATAACAATTGATTATTTGAAAGTTGTTTTGATCTTTCAATTTTCTTGGGACAATCAGTGGACAACCTTCTTTCACATTTATGACCTTTGAAACAATAACAAATTTAGATCTTTAAGCTGTTATTTCCAAAATGTGGTCTGCCTTTTTTATGCTGTCAATATTACCGGAAATATTGAGATTTCAATTTTATTGAAAAAACCCAAATGGTTAAAATCTGAAAAAATAAATGATATCTCCAATAATATTGAGAGCACAACAAAGGCAGATCACATTTTGGAAATCTGAAAACTAAATCAAGTAGAATTTTACTTCTCAAATTAGGTTTACGAATAGATGCCGTAAATAGCTTCTAAGGTTTCGTGGGAACCTGCAGAAACTCCTGGATTACACTTTGAATGAAAATTAACTATTGAGTTTATTTGTGACTAAAATGAATGTCGTCTTGTAATAGCCAATAATAAAAATAATTGTATCGAACCATTATACATTTCCTGGAGAAAGGAAGAAATTGATGAGCGTGTTTTTTATATATTAACTTTTTTTTTGCTAACGTCCATTCTCTGGCGAACATTTTTTTTAAATAAAGCTAATCATTTTTATTTGTTTCAGTTTGTGACTATTATATCCACGACTACTGCCAGGTATTGATGGAGGGATTTAAAGTTAAACAGATTAACCCAGAACTTCGGAAATATCGAAAGAATTTATAGAATGTCGTCTTTGAATTTTTTATTGGTTTTACTGATATGCCTAAATTTCAGTTATTGTAAAATATTTAAATAGCCCTGTAGTTTGCGGTAACTGTCTAAATTAAAAGAGCTCAATATAATAATTAAAAAAAACGAAATATATAAGAACTATGCAGCATTCCACTATAACTAGGATTTGAAGACGGCATAACTATAAACTATGTTAGTTAGGACTATTTTTAGGAGAAAGTAAAAAGATTAAAAAAATGAGAAGCGCTTCCTAGACCTAGTTCAATTAAGAAGTATAACTTACTGCATTATTGCTGTTAATCAAAATCATCTTTTCATTTTTTTCCCCTTCTAGATATAAACCATATTTAGAGTCCTTTTTTATTTCGAAAGGTCTACAGTGCCTAATTGTTGTATTTCGGAGTTTGCAAGTGCCTAATTGTTGTATTTCGGAGTTTGTAAGTGCCTAATTGCTGTATTTCGGAGTTTGTAAGTGCCTAATTGCTGTATTTCGGAGTTTTCGGAGCTTGCAAGTGCCTAATTGTTGTATTTCGGAGTTTGCAAGTGCCTAAATGTATTTTGGAATTTGCCAGTGCCTAATTGTTGTATTTTGGAGTTTGCAAGTGCCTAATTGTTGTATTTTGGAGTTTGCCAGTGCCTAATTGTAATACTCCGGAGTTTGCAGTTAAATATTGTTATATTTAAGAATTTGCAGCGCCTAATATTTATATTTAGAAGTTTACTGTTTCAAATCATTAGGAGTTGCAGTGCCTCATTATTATATTTAGGAGTTTCCTCCCTAATAGTTATATTGCAGTTTATTATTGTTATATTTAGGATTTTACAGTGCATTATTATTATATTTAGGAGTTTGCAGTTCAGTTCATTATTGTTATATTTAGGAGTTTGCAGTTCATTATTGTTATATTTAGGAGTTTGCAGTTCATTNTGTAGACTGTAGACTGTAGACTGTAGACTGTAGACTGTAGACTGTAGACTGTAGACTGTAGACTGTAGACTGTAGACTGTAGACTGTAGACTGTAGACTGTAGACTGTAGACTGTAGACTGTAGACTGTAGACTGTAGACTGTAGACTGTAGACTGTAGACTGTAGACTGTAGACTGTAGACTGTAGACTGTAGACTGTAGACTGTAGACTGTAGACTGTAGACTGTAGACTGTAGACTGTAGACTGTAGACTGTAGACTGTAGACTGTAGACTGTAGACTGTAGACTGTAGACTGTAGACTGTAGACTGTAGACTGTAGACTGTAGACTGTAGACTGTAGACTGTAGACTGTTGACTGTTGACTGTTGACTGTTGACTGTTGACTGTTGACTGTAGACTGTAGACTGTAGACTGTAGACTGTAGACTGTAGACTGTAGACTGTAACTTGTAGACTGAGACAAATATTTTTTAATCTCTAAATTCATTTCGAAAATTTCTAAATAATTTCTTGAATTTCAAAACACCTTTCTTGAATCTTTTAACGTGTTTTATAATTACTGCAGAGGTTTGGAACTTGGAAGTCATTAAAACGGAAGTCATTAAAACTGTGAATTTGAACAGGAAGGCTCAAGATACAACAATTTAACGTCTACCTAATATTTCCCAAATGTTTTCTTCAATATTCCACAGTTTTATGGTGTCATGTCATAAATTTTCTTTCTAAAATTCTAAAATTATGAAGGGAAGGGAACCTGCCTCCAAACTCTAAATGTGTAAAGTGCAGAAAAGCATGTTGGTCTCCAGACTGCCTAACAGGTAAATATCTTTTTATGACATGCAAATATCATCATCCCATTACATGGAAATATCATCTTCTTGTGAAATGTAAATATTGTCTTCTTGTGAGTCGCAAATTAAGTTATGTCAATCTTGGAATAAAGAAATTTAAAAGTAAGATAAAGGTATTAAAAAAAATGTTTGATATTTACTTTAAATATCATATCAATTGGACTACTGACCTTCAGAATTGAACTAAAAGTTCATCTGAACTAATAGTGCTTGGGTAAATTTTCATTTGAACTAGTGTTCATTTGATCTAATGTTCATTTGAACTAATTTTTATTTGAACTAATGCTCATTTTAACTAATGTTCATTTGAACAATGTTCATTTGAACTAATGTTCATTTGAATAAATGTTCATTGTTCAGTATAGTCGACTAATGTTAATATTTTTAATAATATCTTTAAATTGACATAGTTTATTTGGACAAACCAAAAATTTTGCGGGTTTTATAAAAAAAAAATTTTAATCAAATTTTGTTAGTAGCAAATTTTTGAAAATTCGATCATCCATTAATTTTCCCTGGGGTCATGTGAGGTCCCGCAAAAAGTTTGGGCACGATCAGTTCAGCCGTTTATTGGATTCAAATGGACAGACAGACAACTACAAGCAAATTATATGTATAGATATATCATCATTTTATGACATGTATATTGGATATATTGTCTTCTTATAACATGCAAATATCATCATCCTATGACATTTATATATCATCCTCTTATGACATTTAAATATAATCCTCCTATGACATGTTATGTATATATATTATCCTCTTATGACATTTAAATATAATCCTCCTATGACATGTTATGTATATATATTATCCTCTTATGACATTTAAATATAATCCTCCTATGACTTGTATATATTATTCTCTTATGACATGCAAATATCATACTTTTATCACATGTAACTATATCAAAATTTGATGCAAATTTGTCAAGAGGTTCCTGAGTTATGATCGGACAAATAAACAAACAAAAAACCCCTGACAATCAAAGATTAATACTTTATAAATATAGATGATCATTTACACAGTACACGCAGGTACAATTTCAAATATACCTGTGTACATTATTTTCTTCTATCCTAGGAATGCGGTGTTGCTGGTGTGGAATGACGGTATGTACTTTAAACTTTTTTTTATTTTTTCCTCTCTCATTAATTATATCATGCTATTTTTTTGCTAATTTTCATTAGTGGTATATATTTTTTTTGCCAAATAATGCCCCACCCTACCCCTCTTCTAAAATATAAATTTTACCCTTATTTTAGACTTAAAGGATATTTAATATGCCTTACCACTTTGTTCTTTCTTTTTGATTATTTTCTTATCAAAGTTTCTTCTTCCAAAATTTTTTTTTTTCAATTTGTCTTTCCCATGTTCTGTTCCTTTATAGGATTATTTTTTATCAAGCCAGCCACCCAATGGAAGTCAATGTCATGGATTTTCTTCAAATTTTGCACACAGCGAGCACATTAAATCCAAAATTTCAGCCTCCTATGACCTCTGGTTGCTAAGTTATGACTTACGGCATCGAGGCAATTTTTGGCCTGACCTTGCATCCTTCAAATGCAATAACTTTTATATCAACAAAGATATCAAGCTAAATTAAAAGCAATTATTTTTCTAGATGCCTAAAGTTCAGGTTTATTTAAAAGAATTTTTCTATTTTAATCATTGAATTTGCTCACAAATCATATTAGATAAGATAAGATAAGATAACGTTTATTGCTAAAATAAATGTATCTGTATTGGAAGGTCATTGATAAGAATTAAAAATAAAATTGGTCCTAATATCGATCCTTGTGGTACACCACAACTCTTGACCTCTATTATTTTATGAGGCCATCGTTCAATTTACCCATTTTAGAGATTCCCCTTGAAAACCATAATTTTTGTTCATTTTCCCCAAATATTCTACCACAGTCATCTTTTTTGTAAGAAAAATTGTCTGTCTTGTTAGACAAGCTCTATTGACAAGGGCAAATTTTCAAAAATGTCCTAAAATTATGGGTTTAAAGCCTTAGCTCCTAATACACCAAGTGTATGCTAGAGATGAAAATTTGCATGATCATTTAATACATCATCAATATCTTGATTAACAAAAAGTTATTGCCAATTAAAGCATGCAAGACCAGGCCAAAAATTGCCTTTAAGCCTGAATTTTAGTAGTCTATAACTTAGTAACAAAAGGTCACAGAAGCCTTACATTTTGGGTTTAAGGGTTTCTCATGATATGCCAGGTGAATGCTAAATTTGAATGAAATCCATGATTTCCAAAAACTGGCTGAGTTCACAAAGAATGAACCTATAAATATATACCCTTAGGTTCACTTCTGGTGTTTTTACCTGGTATCTGAGGAGATGTTGACCTGCGCCTTTATAAATATATACCCCTAAGTTCACTCCTCTTGTTTGAACCTGGTATCTGAGGAGATGTTGATCTAATCATTTATAAATATAAACCCTAGGTTCCCCCCTGTTTGAACCTGGTATCTGAGGAGATGTTGACCTGCGCCTTTTATAAATATATACCCCTAGGTTCACTCCTCTTGTTTGAACCTGGTATCTGAGGAGATGTTGACCTGCTGCTTTGGAAAACTTGAACCAATTTTCCTTCCTCCTCATGCTGTTTCTATACCAAGAACTCAGGTACAGGATGTTCAAATAAATTTGTGAATTGAGTAACAATTTTGATTTCATCTTAAATTTTGTATCACAAAATAGATATGTGAAGAGCTTTCTGTAAATAGCAGTGTCTCCTGTCTCAATATTATCTTGTTCCTCAACTGCTTCTACAACAGATCTGAGAAAAACTGTCTGTAAAGAGCAGCGTCTCCTGTCTCAAGATTATCCTACTCTTTAGCTGCTTATACAACAGATCTGTGAAGAGCTGTCTGTAAAGAGAGGATCCTCTGGAGAATATAGAGCAGCCTCTGATGTACTGGCTGGGTAATCTAGTTCTCCTCTGTACTAACACTCTAGCTGCTCCATGTCTCCAGTAGCTCTATTTATAGAACCAGCCGGAGAATATATCTTGCTCTGTAGTTGGACTGGCTGGTCTGTAGTGGGACTTGTTTGTCCTGGATATCCTAGCTCTCCTGTATGTCCTGGAAGTCCTAGATCTCCTGTGTGTCCCGGATATCCTAGTTCTCCTATGTGTCCTGGATATCTATAGGAGATAAATCTCTTGATGATACTGAGGAATCCAAGGATGTATATTCATGGATAATGATGGGGAAGGAGGCTGGTGTCCTCGTTGGTTCTCCTAGATACCCTAGCTGCTCTACAGAACCAGCTCAAGAAGATAGAGCTCCATCTGATACATCTTGGTCCGTTGTTGGACTAGCTCATCCTATCTGTCCTAGCTGTTCTGTATCTCCAGTGTCTCTGTTCATAGATTTAGCTGGAGAGTTATCCTGAATTCTGATGTAGAAGGAGGCAAGTGTCCTCCTTAGTTCTCTGGTAGGCATGATAAAGATATATCAGTCTGAAAGCGATCCAATAGTGCAGGTACTGGTACCCAGGCCCTCATTGTACAACCGGAGGATTAGCTCTATGTCGGTACTGTTTAAAGACCCTGGGTGCACCAATCCTATTCTCCAGGTTCTTTACTCTGCTCAGGTTCAGAGAAAGGATTGAGGGGTTTTAGTATCTGATCATACTCTAAATATTACACCATGCTTAGAATACTACGTCTACACTATCCCAAACAACAAGAAGTAGATAATATATATCTCAAAGATTTTCTATTTAGATGTCTCAGGTCAATTTTCTGGGGTTGAAACCTAAAGAATCCGTGGGAATTCATCATCTTTATAGGTAAAATTGTTGTCAAACACATTTAATTTTTTCTTATATTTTTATTTGTTTTCATAATTTAATTATTTTTAAATAGTTTAGTTTTCTACTGAATAAAAAAATTGATATTATCAAGCACATTTTTGTTAATCCTTTTCATACTATTCTATTCTATTTTATTCTATTTTATTATAACCTTTTTTATTCCATTGTATTTTAAATCTAGTTTATTCTATTATAAACTATTTTAATCTATTGTATTTTATTATCTTATATTTTTTATATTTTATTATAATCTCTTCTATTCTTTTCTGTTTTATTCTATTCTATTCTATACTTTCTATCATATTGCATTGTATTCTATCATATTCTATTTTAAACTCTAAACTGATCTCTCCTATAGAACTGCTGAGGGCAAAGGGTTAGCAGTGTCGGATGATTGGAGTTCAACTGGTAGGAATATAGGATGCTCTCTACACACTGCACGTTAATCGTTTAATGTCCAGTTAAATACTGGGGTAGTCCAGTTTTCCAGTTTTTTATTCATTCTTTTTCAGTTTTTAACTGGATTTGTCCATTTTGTTTCAATACATGTTTAGACACAATTTATTTGTTGATAAAGGGATTTGTACAGTTGACAACTGGATTTATTTGGTTGATAACTGGATTTGTTTGGTTGATAACTGGATTTATTCGGTTGATAACTGGATTTGTTCGGTTGATAACTGGATTTGTTCGTTTGATAACTGGATTTGTACAGTTGACAACTGGATTTATTTGGTTGATAACTGGATTTGTTCGGTTAATAACTGGATTTGTTCAGTTGATAACTGGATTTGTTCGGTTGATAACTGGATTTGTTCAATTAATAACTGGATTTGTTCAATTAATAACTGGATTTGTTCGGTTGATAACTGGATTTGTTCAGTTAATAACTGGATTTGTTCGGTTGATAACTGGATTTGTTCGGTTGATAACTGGATTTGTTCGGTTGACAACTGGATTTATTTGGTTGATAACTGGATTTGTTCAGTTAAATAAATAAAAAAAAGATCAACCATCATTTTGTTTATAACTGGATTTGTTCAGTTAATAACTGGATTTGTTCGGTTTATAACTGGATTTGTTCGGTTGATAACTGGATTTGTTCGGTTGATAACTGGATTTGTTCGGTTTATAACTGGATTTGTCCAGTTAACAAAAGAAATAATGCACGTTTCACATTTTACTACCCATTCTGTCTACCTTAAAAATACATTTACACAACAAAATAAACTAACTTTTGTTTAGAAAAAAACAAGCGCTATATTAACATAAAATTACAGAGCTCTCATGTTTGTTTCAAGTGCATTCCATTTTAAAGCTGATCCGGATCCGGATCTTGATCTGGATCCGTATTGTAAAAAAGGATCCCGATCGACCAACTCGAAAACGGATGTTTACCAATCTCTATAGTTAAAACACTTTATTAATATGTTAATATGTTGCATCTTGGATTCGGATCCGTGAATCCCATATTTTAGGACCCGGATCCGTGAATCCCATATTTTAGAACCCGGATCTGGATTTAGGTAGTTGACATGTTAACCCTAATCAGGCTGGGGGGCGGGGGGTTTCGAGTTTCTTTTGTTCTTGCACTTGAAATTTGTTGACCTTTAAGAAATTATAATTAGAGATTTTTTCCATTTTTTTTCAATGCATAGGGTAGGGTACAGTAAAGTCGAAAGGACAGTAAAAAATCTAAAAAAAAACATAACTTGTTTGCCATCAAAGTCACAGACCTAAAACTTACATTTTTGGAAAGCTTTTGAGAAGGAGGCTGGGGTCCTCGTTGGTTCTCCTAGATACCCTAGCTGCTTGTTCCGGGCCTCGTACTACCAGCACAGCTTACAGAGAGCTTCTACGGATATGAGCAATGATGAAGAACCAATGATGAACCAAGCAGACGGATTGACACTAGATAATGGACATGATGAGGACTTGATTGCGAGGAGACAGGAGGAGACAATGAAGGAGATGTACGACTTCCTTGGTGAGATATCTGAGAAGATCCAAACATTTAATACCACCATGAGGAGGAGTGCAAGCTCTGGTCAGCCACCAGTGGTCCCTGATGATAAACTGTGGGACACGGGGTTGGCTTGGGAAAGAGAGTTTGATCTTTACCCAGATGCAAGTAGAGATGTTATTATATCTCGCTTGTATAACCAGGTCTGGAACCTGCTCCAGAAGATGAAGGAGCGCGTTGCCCAACAAACCTGGAAAACAGAGGATCAAAAAAAGTTGAGGGATTGATCAACATAATGGTCCTATCTGTACGTAATAATATATCAACTGATCATATCCTTAAAGATCAAGTTGAGAATCATGCTGTATAAAGACCATGATTCGTCTGTATTGATTATAATGTCAAAGTACATAATATGATAATATAATGCTGTAATGTACAATGATGTATAAATAAATACATGTATGAAATGTTTATTAGAGAGAGAGGGTGTTATCAGGTTGCAATGATTATGAGTAATATTAGAGTGGATTCTAAATTAGAAAGTAGAATTAACTCGATGTATGAAAATATCAGGTTACCAAGATGATGAGTAATATCAGGATTGAATCCAAGTACAAGATTAGTCCCATATATGAAAGTATCAGGTTTCAAAGATAGTGCATTACACAAAGGTCCAATCTGATAAAATATTTAGACTTAATGTGTATCTATCATTATCTATAAAAGTAAATGAGTTTGATTCATTGCTCTGAGATGATTGAATGTGAAAATACAACAATACTGGGGGGAGGGGATACAGAAACCAAGCAGAATTTTTTATTTTTAATAAGAATATATACGTAGAGTCAGAAGCACTTCTAAGCATATTTTCTTCATAGTTTTGCACACTATTTTCATGGACAAAAAAAGCTAGTTTAATACTAATCAGCTGATCACTTAATAGAGGAAGGGAGGGCAACAACGCCAATTTGTAATCCCCATATCTGCAGGGTACTGTTGGGTACTGTGAGGTTCTTTGGAGTACTGTGGGGTACTATGGGGGTACTGTGGCTACTGCAGGGTACTGAAGCACTCTGTATGCCCTGTTACCATCACTTTCCATAAAAAGATTTGGGAATTACAAATTGGTGTTTTTGCCATTCCTCTCTCCAATGAATCATCGGCTGTTTAGTTTTAAACCATATAAACATAATCTCTTTTATACTGTTTTACACAAATGAAGATTATGCAAAACTAGAGTAAAGTGTAACCCAGAAAAGCTTCTATATAAGTTCTAAATATTTTTGTTCAAAATAAAAATTCTGTTTGGTTTGGCAACTTTTTTCTGCAGAATCTTTCCTACTCTCTGAAAGGTTTCACATCGATCCGTACTGCAGTCCATCAATTATCATACAGGGAAATTTTCATCTTTCTAAAATCCCAGGGAAAGATTTGACAGGTTCTTTTGGTTTGTTTTTATTTCCAATTCCTTTATATCTGAGACATTGGTTTAACCTAAAACTTTGGTTTTCAGGATCAAAAAAGTTATAAATCAGCTTTTAAGAAATGATAAGTTATAAATCTGCTGAAAGAAATGAATAAATGAGAGCTCTTGAAAGTGTTAGGTATACTATTTGACTTGGTTTTTAAATTTCTTGCGGTTTCACTAAAATATTAGAAAATGAAATAAAAAATGTAATGCGTTTTAATTTTGTTTATCAAAAAGTTTATCCACTCAGCAAAGTTTTGAGGGATTAACCCAATTCACAACATCCTTTAAAGCTATATCTGATCAAGCGTGAATTATAAATCCATGTTTTTGTTTTTTGAAAACTGATTTTTTTTCATCTGTTGCTTCGGTTCAAAAGTGAATCGCGCTTTTAAATCTTCAGCAAAAATGGAGAATTAGACACGTTTCAGACTTTAAAGCCGACTTTATCTTCCACATTTTTATTCAGATAAAGGTTTCAAGGCTAGCGTTGTAAATAAGAGATGCCCCTCTTTTATAATTACAACAATGGTCCCTTTAACCCTATTCCTACTGCTGAGGGGGGGGGGTTACAGTGCCCCCCCCGTTTTTTGCGATAACTTAAAAAGTATTGGTCTGAGGCTGTTAAAATTTTTGACTTTTCTAACTTTAAATACATGCCTCTCCCTTCAGGCTCAAAGCTTGGCTTTCATGCCTATAACTGCTTGAGTCCTTAGGCATATTACCTGAATGCCTTATAATACCTTTGCCAGACTAAATCCAAATATAGACCTACTTCCAGTTATTTGATTTTAGTATCTAATAGGTCTTTGAAAAGTCTACAGTACAAGAAGAAGATTTTTGTAGTTTTTTGCACAGACGCCTTAAAAGGAAATTTGCACAATTTTAGTTTTTCTTGAAAACGCATTCAGGTTTGAAAATTTCGCAAATTTTTTGTATTTGAATTAGCCGGGCTAAGAACTGTTAAAAAATGTATAATTTATCATAGTTCGCGCACTTTTTGTTTTGCACACATTTTTTGCTATAAAAAATTGATTTTGCAATAAATATTTAAAATTTTGAAAATTTGCAAAATTTCTGTGCAGATTCTTTATGTGGCAAAGGCTTTCCAAACACGTTATGTTATAGATTTGTATCACAATAAGGAAATTATAGAGGGGGGTCACTCTGACCCCCCCCCCCCCCTCTATTTTGGGTAAACCAGACGTGAGTCGGAATAGGGTTAAGAATTACAGATTAAAAGAGTGTTAATATATGCTGGAGCCAGAATTTTCCAGAGTGTAATGAATGCAAACTTTTAAGAGTACAAATCGTAAGACCTCACTTCATTATTGATTTAGTAAAGTCACTTCAATTTTTGTAGGACATTCCTGATAGCCTTATTTGATTTGATTTGAAGAGTTAAACTTTTCACATATCTGCAAAGCTTAACAAATACTTGGAGCCGAAAAAAAAACGAAAAAAAAACTCAAGTGTTAAAATAAAGGATCAAAATGGAATGTCAAACTCAAGTGAGGGCTCTTAAAACATACAATTGTACATTGCAGAGTGTAATGAATGCAAACTTTTAAGAGTTACACTTTTGACATATCTGCAAAGCTTAAGAAATAGTTGGAGCCGGAAAAAAAAGAAAAACCCTTCAAATGTTAAAAAAGGATCAAAATGGAATGTCAAACTCAAGTGAGGGCTCTTAAAACATACAATTGTACATTAGACATAAAAATATGCCCTGTCCTTGGACCTTGATCAAGTAGATCTTCATTTCAAGCCTAGAAATTATCTGCTCAATACCCTAAATGAATAGTTCCCTTGACCCTTAAATTAGTACTTGATGTCTTACTATTTCACTCTTCACGAGCATTAACTGATAAGGAATTACATAGAACCTAAAAGTATTATCAAGTATTTTTGCTTTCCAAAGTTCGGGCAGTGCGAGGATGAAACTTCAGAGACGACTGTTCGTAATTGTCTCAGTCTTTTTCTTACATATTCCTAGATCTCTGTAGCTAAACAGTTATTTTTCTTCTTTGAAAAACTTATTAGTTTGCTAATAAATCCCTTTTTTATTGCGGAAACCCAAATTAAAGTTTCAGATTATCTAATCTGCTGCAGAGATTTAGGTCTTCATTAAAATTGTATTTTTAGAAGATTTTGGTCAAAATTATCCTTTAGTTTGTAGATCCTTCCCTTCAGTGTAACATCCCTAGTTTGTTCAAGTTTTCTACAGTATTTTCTCAAACTGAAAAGAATCTGTTTTTAATGAAATTAAACTGAAAATAATGTTGTGATGATGTCAGTAACACCGAGGAACTACATGTTTACGTCATTGTTGTTCCTGGTCCAAGATTATTTTGGGCTAAATATCAAACTTAAAAACAGTGGCGTCATTTTTGGAAGGGGGGGGGGAGTGGGGACATTTCCCTGGAAAATGGGAGGAATCTCATATTTCATGAAAATTTTAATTTTTGCGCAACATAGGATCCCAAAAAAATTAGTCCATCTTAATGATCAACTATAAAATAGCTGGTGATTGAGCAATATTTTACAACAATAGAAGCAAAAAAAAAAATGGAAAATAGAAGAATTTCCGTAAAAAGTAACAATAAGTAATAACAACTAAAAAAGTTTTGGAAGTATAACAACTCCACCCTAAAAATGTAATTAAAGACAAAAATTCATTAATGGCAAATCTCAAATTTTACAGAAAAATATAAAAACTAAAATCTATGAGATAAGCATAATTTGAGCATTTATTGAATAGGCATGAGATAGCTTAATTTTTGAATTTTCACTTAATTCTCTGAAAATCAATAAATTGATAGTTGACTTCTTGTAAACAATCTGGCGTTTAAATGAATTGACTTTTATTTTTATCTTATGTGCGTTTTATAACCTATAAGCGTATACTTCTAATTATGTTTTAATAAGAAAGGAATCTGAAATTCTTATTCGGAGACAGTTAAAACTGCTTCCCCTTGTTGAAAAAAAGGCAGTAAAATTTTTACACAAAATAAGTTTTTGCTTGCGGATAAAAATATTTTAAATTAACCATGCAAACATTTAGTCTCCGAAATGCCGATGTCGAACATCAAAAGTCCAGAATTATTTACCAGACACCTACGCCATCGGAACATGAAATAGTTGATTTAAATGTTTCCTGGGAAAACTTTAATCAAATGCAAAAAAGGGTAAAAATATCAGGATATTTTACAGTTACTTGAGTTCATTTTTAGATTTAAAAAAAAATAATGATATTTTTTGGCAGAAATATCTTGTCAAGGTCCCCTCTACCATCACTCTTAATACAAATAAAATTGTTTAACCGTCCAGTAATTTATTTTTATTTTTTGTACATAACCCATACACAAAACCCAGGAGTACATCATAGATGTTCAATGTTGATTATTTTGAATTAAATTTGTTTTCAACCCGCGCACTGTGTCAGTTTGTGGAGAGAGTGTCGTTCAAGGTGGAGCAGAGGCTAGCAGGGAACTCGAGGAATCCATGCCATCAGCTGTTAGATCCAGGTAGATAATCAGCTGTTAGATCCAGGTAGATAATCAGCTGTTAGATCCAGGAAAATGAACAGCTGTTAGATACAGGTAGGTGATCAGCTGTTAGATCCAGGTAGATATTTAGTTGTTAGATCCAGGTAGATAATCAGCTGTTAGATCCAGGTAGATAATCAGCTGTTAGATCCAGGTAGATAATCAGCTGTTAGATCCAAGTAGATAATCAGCTGTTAGATTCAGGTAGATAATCAGCTGTTAGATCCAGGTAGATAATCAGCTGTTAGATCCAGGTAGGTAATTAGCTGTTAGATCCAGGTAGATAATCAGCTTTTATATCTAGGTAGATAATCAGCTGTTAGATCCAGGTAGGTAATTAGCTGTTAGATCCAGTTAGATAATCAGCTGTTAGATCCAGGGAGGTAATCAGCTGTTAGATCCATGCAGGTAATCAGCTGTTAGATCCAGGCAGAAAATTCAGATTTTAGAACCTTGTAGATAATCAGCTGTTAGATCCAGGCAGAAAATTCAGATTTTAGAACCTTGTAGATAATCAGCTGTTAGATCCAGTTAGAAAACCAGCTGTTAGATCTCGTTAGATAATCAGCTGTTAGATCTAGGTAGATAATCAGCTGTTAGATCCAGGTAGATTATCAGCTGATCTAGTTAAAATGAGTTGATGGATTCCTATTTTAGCTGATTATCGAGGGAATCAGTGGATGGATTCCTATATTAGCTGATCATCAGTTGATGGATTCCTATATTAGCTGATTATCTAGGAAATCAGTTGATGGACTCCTATATTAGCTGATTATCAGTTGATGGATTCCTATATTAGCTGTATATCTAGGGAACGTGAAAAGAAGGAAAAGCAAGTTAAAGAGAAGGAAAAGGAGTTGGAAGAAGGTAAAACAATTGTTTAGCTGTTTTTATACTGTTTTGGAATTAATAATTATTAAATGTAATAAAAATTAAGAGAAATATACTTTTAATAACTGTTACAAGAGTTTACATCTGATAAACGGCTTATATCATCATGAAATAAAATAGTATATTAATCTCTTGTTTGTGACAGTCCCAATTATCAAAAATTTCAAGCTGGATAAATTTTAAAAATTATTTTTTTTTGTAATTGAGTTTATAAATGTTAACCAATTTTCTTTTAGAATTAATCAAAGTTTTCGACGGTTACACCTCACTTCGGAAACGGCTATTCAGGAAAATCCCATGTTTACTATATAAACAAAAATTAAAAAAATTAAGCAAAAAAAACTCTGGCTACAGGGTGTCCCACGAAACATGAGTTTACGAGAAATTTGTCAAATCAACAAAAGGTTAATGGAATTTTCCAGTAACTCTAAAAGCATAAAAATGGGAGATCACATTTTAAAATCCCAGGACATATCATTATTGTTTCAAGAACTTTACTTCAGGCTTCCGAATAATTTTATTTCAAAACTCAAAGACGACTTCCTCTCGCCTCTATATTAGGTTCCACGGTACACCTCATATTTGGTTCTATGAAGAAAGTTCTCTAAAATAAAGTCCTAAATCCTAACGTACTGTCAAGGTTTGATGAGGAAAACTGTAAAATGTTTCTAAAAAGAATTTGAAAATGAAGTTTTATTTTCTAAACAACTATTTAGACCAAAAATTATTGTAGAATTTTTTCTTCTCAATTTTTAGTAAAAAATACTGTTACATAATCTATAGGGACGAGGTTCTAGGTCCAGATCTGTGGCTGCAGCGCTCGGCCCAGAATTTTCATAGTCCAATCTAACCCAATATATTGCTAAGCAATCAATATACATATTCAGTCAGAAACCCAGGAATTGTACAAAAAGATAGGGGCTGTAAAATTCGTCTTATAAATTTTCAATCATTATTTTTTCTAATCTTTTGTGATTTTTAAACATGGTTTCTCCCTGGTTAGAACAATCACAGTTTCTAAGTTTGCAACCAAGGACCAACTGCTGGCGGCAGCTATGAAAGCTTTTGTTGTATCACAGGTCAGTTGGTGACAACGTATTCTTTAATTGATAACAAGAGCAGTGTGCAGGGGGGGGGCTCAGACCCCACCCCCTTGATCAGTGAAATCCTACTGATCTACCTACGGATTAGTTTAATTCAAGTTCTGTATCCTGGGGTGCTCATACCCTGCAGGGATAACTAATTGAAATTTGAAAGGGTCAACATTTAATATCGAGATCAAGTGTACAAGATTAGCGATACTTAACACAAAAGTTTCGGCCTTAGGTCATTAATCTTTGTTTTTGTTTTAAAATCTCAGATAACTGGGTCCCAAGTGCATGTTTAATGTATATTTATAATCTGAACATTGTTAATCTAAAGGGAAAATTGTTAAGTAATTAGATCAACCATGTTGTCATGGGGGTTTACATCTATTTTTATTCAATGTTTTCAAAATTGTTTAGTTCAGTGCCTTAAAGCAGAGGGTCGCAAATAGTTTTTTAACTTTTATCAGATGATAACCTAACATTTTCCATCGTTATTTGCTTATTTCTAGAAAATACTCCGAGGCTTAAACTCTTAAGTTTTTTATTTTTAAATATTTTTTATTTGAGTTCTTATTTTTATACAATTTTTAAAAGGCATATTAGCAAGAAGATAAAGTAGATAAGTTCACCTGTTTTAGTTAACTGTACGCCTACAGGTGTCCGGCATTTCTATTGAAATTCATTGGTTACCAATTTCTTTATACAGAAAAGTTTTCATTTTTTTGTACACTCACCGAATTTTGTGTTTTTAAAACCTTTAAATGTTATATTTTAAATAAATGTAATTTTTTGCCTTTAACTGCAGCCAATTTTTTAGACAAAGAAACGTCCTAATAACAAAAATATAGTTAGATTTTGTTGCTACGGGTTCAGCGATGTTTTCTTGCCATCAAATAATTGCCTTTGTTTCCATTAAAAACAATTTTCAGTTTTCATTGATTTTTTTGTGTTTAAAATGGTAAATCAATTAGTTTTTAATTACCTCTAAACATATCCTAAAGGTAAATAAATTAATAAATAAAAATATAAAGGATGGTCTTATTTTAGGGTTTACAAATTTTTGTTCAATCTCTTACGCGAAAATTTCGTTCTTTTCGTTCTTTTTTGCGAAAATTTTCGTTAAACTTTTTCGCGAACTTTGCAAAATTCGTTCGAAATTTTAGCGAAAATTTTTGAACTTTCGTTCAAAATCGAATTTTGTTTCGCAAAAATGTTCAACTATTTATTAAATAACATGAATATTTACCCATGGGGAGGGGGGGGTCCTCACCAGACACTCCGTCAGAAATCCAACAATTTTTTTGACACGAAAGGGGAAAAAATCGATTTTTAACGAACGAAAATGTGCGAAATTCGTTCGTTCATTTTCGCGAATTTCGTTCAACGAGATACTAAGGGCTGCTTTAGTTTTATCTGAATGTTTCGAAAAAACAATTAATTCAAAAATTCAAAACTTAAAAATTTAGTTTAATCTTGTTTTTACTCCTGTACTAAGAACTGCTTAAGTTCACCTACACGGAATAAACATTTCTCATGAAATCAATTAGTTGAAACCTTCTTCAAAAGAAATAGTTTTTAGTTCGTAGCCCAGGCAGATTAAATTTTCTAGAAAAGAGTTTAGAAAATATTTGGGCCTAGTATCGAGTATCGAGTTGATTGTTATTTCAAACTTCTAATTAACCAAACATTAAAGTAATGTTCACTTTAGATTTTAATAAAGGTCTGAAAATCGTTTAGAATAAATTTGTCAAACCACCTAAATGTTAAAAATCATATACCTTAAAAACATTAACATTAAGCATTATTTGAACTGACCCTCCACACAAAGATGGCAATGTCTGATTCACAACGGTACCCTTGAAACCTTATTCTGTTCAAAGATATGGAAGATACCGTCGTTTTCTTGATTCGAATAGTCTTTCTAAATTCTCTATTTTCACAAGGACCCGCAGAGAACCCACAAAATAAAATAAACATTTTGCAGAAACAAAAACATGGATATCTAATTCATACTTGATCAAAAAAGCTTTTAGAGGTACCATTGTAAATCAGGCATTGCCATATTTGAATTAAGAATCACTTAAAATTACGCTAACATTTCTTTAAGCAACTTTCTTTTCAAAATAATTAATTAATAATTCTTCTTTCACTAAACCATGAAGTTTGTGATTGATCAATGAATAGCTTGTTTTTTTATTCTGGAGGGTTTCCGATAGTAGAGTAGTGCGTTCGGCTTTTTTATTTCATTTTTTCATCGTTCATGAACGGTCCATTCGTTCGTTTTATTTCAATCTTTAAAAAATAATTAATTTCTTTTTTCTCAAATTATCGTTCATTTTCCGTCTATTTCGTTCGTTTTCTCTCTGAACAATCGTTCAGTAAAATCGTTCGTTCAGAAAAATTGATCGTTCAAAAAAATCGTTTGTTAAAAAAAGCGATACTTTTTTCTGAAGTTTTTTCGAAAAACCGTTAGTTTGGTAAAAAAAAAAGTGTGCTTGAAAAGATCGTTTTTTCAGTAAAAAAAAACTATGTTTTTTTTAAGTTTTTCAGTTCGTTCATTTAAAAAAATTACTAAAATCGGTCATTAACGATCAAGCTCGTTTAAACGAATTTAAATCGTTAGTTATTAAAAAACATTAATTTGTTCTTTTCTCTGAACGATCCATGTCGTTTGTCCATCCACACCCTTTTTCACGAAAAGTTATGTTCCTTGAAAAAAACGATGCCCATCTCTATCCGATGGTCTCCGACTCCAATGATGATGATTTCTTCCTAGACTCCTGATGATTTCTTTCCATTTTGAATTTTTTAATTAATTATTTTCTAATAATCTTAGATCCGGGTCAGAAAATGTAATAACAAGTTTCCATGAACTTTTATATTAAAACACTTGCAATCAATCTTTTTTAGAAAAAAAATATTTATTCTTTCTACGCAGACGCAAAAACTGTTTTCTTCACAAATAAAATTACTCCCAGGTCAAAATGTAAAGTACAATGTGTTTACCGAACATTAACATTGACAATTTAAAGACGTCAAATACCACAATGAATATTCATATCTGTTTTAAAAGAAAAAAAGTTTATACAAAATAAATCTGTACACGGACCAAAAACGTAAGGATTCCTGTTTTAAAAAGTCAGTTTAGCTTGATTTCCAATCCTCCTTGTTATACTTCTCTTATGAAGCATTTACTCTGCTTTGAAGCAGAATATAATCCCTTACAGAGGAAGGAAAAGTCTAGTCCTAAGGCAGTTAGGTAATTTCAATCCGGAAATGCTTCAAAGAGAAGTTTAAGAGCAGTATAACAAGGAGGTTTTGGCTCAACTTCCTATTAGAGGGAGAAATCAAGCTTAACTGCCTTTTTAAATCAGGAGTCCTTACGAGGCATTCCAGTTTTGGGACGATGAAAATACAGTGTATGAATAAGATATTCATGCATTTGTTTTTGTAAAACTAATAATTTTCATTTTTATTTCCCTTTCAGATGGTAAACATTTAACTATTCCCTGACGAGAATGGAAAGACAGGCGGCCATAAGCCACAACATTTTTCTTTTCCAAGCCGTATATTAACTTTTTTGTCTTCCAGCAGCCATGAGCCACAGCATATAAGTCTTACGACAGTTATTACGTTTTTAAATAATAAATTTAGTGGATTGAAATTGTGATTTAAGAAATTTAGCAAAAGATATAAATAAAAAAACTTAATATTTAAGGTTTATATTGAAATAACAACGATTCCTTTTATCGTAAACTGCTAAACTTCCCCCCCCCCAAAAAAAAAAAAAAATCAAGCTTTCCTCTAAAATGGGGTTTTTTAAACAATATAAAAAAAAATGATTATTTTTCTCATATTTTTCTTATTCTTTAGACTACCCCAAACAATTTGTTTTGGTGCCCCATGAATGCGTAAAATGTTTCTAAACACACAACTCAATTGATCTTTAATAAACTTCTAACATTTCTAAAAGGTATAATATTTCGCGTAATGCGGCAGGATTTTTAAAAATTCAATCATTTAAAAACGTAATAACTGCAGGAAGGCGCAATTATGCCGTGGCATAGGAGACAGTACGGTTGTGGCTCTTGTCTGCCGGAAGACAAAAAAAAGATAATGTGGCATAAAAAGGGAAAATGTTGTGGCTTATGGCCTCCTGCATTCCCCCGCTCCCCTCAATGTTGAGAGTTTAGACTATTTGGAAAAAATTATATTTTGATTTATTTCATATCCTTTTCAATTCTGTACAAATAAAACAATATAATTTATAAATACAAAAATTAAGAAAACAGATCGGAGTAAAAAGACTTTTTTTTATTTAAAAATTCTTAACTAGCAGTTTTTAATGGGACACACTTTAAATATTTTTATTCCGTTCTTGTCATAATATGTTTTTCGGGGAGACACGAATTTAGAAAGAAAAAAAATTATCAATGACCTTAATTTAGGATAGTCGAATTTTTTACCTTTTGGACGTCTACGCAGATTGTGATAACGCCAGAGAGGAAGAAATACAGGTCTGCGCATTTATGATTATTTTTTACAAATGCGTCAATTGACGCAAATTAGTCAATTGGCGCATATTATTATTGCACATTGTCACATCTTGTTAGAAGATTGTAAAAATCTTTGAAAAATGAGTTGAGTTTTTGCCACAAGCTCTGATTTCCTAACCATTTTATCTTTACAGCCTGATGTTTCATGCCTGTGATATATCAAACTAGATAGTTTGTTAGATCAAATAGTCAAAATTTGGAATATCAAAGGTTTACACCATCAGGTTGTAAAACTATTGGGATTAGACCATTTTAGTTTGTGGGAAAAACTCAATTTCTTAGCTGAGTTTTGATTTCTTTTTATATGTAAATCAGTCATCAGTTGGCACTTATGATTATGATGTTGTTCGTACATAAGATTTGTGATTTTGTGTACACTGTACAGCATCCCTATATACTTTGTTTTATACAGTACACAGTATATGACATTATGATCATATTATAAAAATACATGGTTTTTACGTAAATGTTGTATACTTGTGTACATTTACAATTTTACATGTTTAATGTTTATTGTTAATGATTATTTTTTACCAATGTTATATATACATGTAACATTATTTACATATAGCACAAGATCACAACCCTTTTGTTTGTAAATAATACATAACATGTCCACGATTATATTGTACGTAAACCCCATTGTACATAAGATTTTACAATAATAGTGTACAGTGTACACTATCCCATTCTGCTGCACACATCATTTATAATTATATTGTACAGGATCCCTATCCTGTACATAGACTAGTGCGGAGAGAAAACCGTCGGCCAGCAATCCTAATTGGTTTAAGAGATATAGAAAATGATGTTGGAATCATAAAGGTATCATTATTATTACTACTACTATCTTATGATTGTTGTTGTTGTTGGCCTCGTCAAAGTTATTAATGAAGTGAATAAAAGTTTAAACCCCGGCCTAATGTTTCTTGATTTGAGGTGTGTGTAATCCAAGGTTGTATAATAAGGTTGCAATTACCCTCGATGCGCTCCAATGTACGGAAAATGTCGTTTCCTATAAGATAGATAGATAAAAACCTCATTTAACGTCACTGATTATAGAGGCGAGAATGACGTCATATGAGGTTTTATCTATCCATCTTAGGAGACGACATTTTCCGTAAATTGGAGCGCATCGAGAGTAACCAACTTCGTAATAAAATCTGTGTGAAATCGCACCATTCTTGGCAAGATAATTTGTTCTCCTGCTACTAGATCAATGATTAATATATTTTTATCTTATTCTAAAAACTCCAAGTTAATCAATGATTAATATATTTAGGTTTGGCCCCAAAAACTTCAAGTTAGTCAATGTTACATTTCTGTGAGTGTAACTTCCTCAGTTACAGCTGGCCAGGTGATCAGTTATCTAATCCACAAAAATATTTCCCATCAGAATGTCAGATTATTTATCTTTAATGACAAAATTGTTATACCAAAAATATTGACTTGACTACAGTGAAACCCTTAATAACGAATACATCGGAAGAATTTATCAAATGTCGTCTTGACAATTTTTCAATGAGTTTTATACTATATTACGTAAATTTCAGTATTTGCGAAAATAAATAAATAGCCATGAATATGCGGGAACAGTTTTAAAGAGTTCCACATAATCATTTAATTAAAAAACTAAATATCTGCAACATTCCATTATCAGCTAAAGTGAAGAATACGACATTTGATGAATTCTTTCGATGTATTCGTTATTAAGTGTTTCACTGTATCTTTACAGCACGTATATTTTTAAGTTTTCACACCGGATATCAAGATCAAGCATACAGTGATAACTAGAAAACAATGAAATAGGATGACGACATTATAGCAATACTAATAGTATTCGATGTTGTTACCACGCAAATAGTCTTATTAGACACTTATTGTATTACTAATTAAGCGAAACGGGTCTGTTTACACTGCACAATTGCTATGTCTCATGCTCCTTGAACTTTATGTAAGTCGTCCTCATATACCAGAGTTTTCTGGTTACCACTGTAGTTTACTAATAATTTTTTGCTCATTTGTATTTTGCCATTTTGACCTCTGGTTCTATTTTGTGTATTGATTTGNATAATCATAATCATAATCATAATCATTATCATTATCATTATCATTATCACTATCACTATTATTATCACTATACTCTCACTATCACTATCACTATCACTATCACTATCATTATCATTATCATTGATATTATTATGATATTATTATTTAGTAAACATGCATACACTGAGTGATGAAGAGATTCCATGGGAACTGTTAAAAAGACGAGGTTTCGAATCTGTTCGGTTGATGGTAAGTAATGATTTAATCCTTTGTGCCATTCATCTCAATATATTTTATTTTTGTTTAGATTTTTTTTTGAATTATTTATTGTTCTGAAACTGTTTTCTTGATTTATTTTAGGCTCAAAGTTTTTTAATCAATTTTCTGATATCGTTATGCCTTTTGAATTTTTATTTGTGATTTTTTAGTTGATTAGTTCGTTGGTCGATTTATTTAGTGATTGATTGATTGATTCAGGAGCTGACCCGGTTCTACTTACAGCTGCGTGAGGACCCTCATGGTCCTAACGTGGCGCTCTTCATCGGGAATCTTCCTCCGAACCTTTCTCATAAAAACTACGAGACAATCTTTTAGTCAATTGGCGCATATTATTATTGCACATTGTCACATCTTGTTAGAAGATTGTAAAAATCTTTGAAAAATGAGTTGAGTTTTTGCCACAAGCTCTGATTTCCTAACCATTTTATCTTTACNCTTCTAGATATTGGTAAATCTTCTAGATAAAGTAAATTTTCTAGATATTGGTAAATCTTCTAGATAATGTAAATCTTCTAAATAATGGTAAACCAGTATTTCATGTCCTTGTTGGGTTTGTCATGCAACTTAATAATTCTTTGGAAATTATATAATTATGAATATGATGATGAAAATGAAAATGATGATGGGAATGACGATGAAAATGATATAAGGATGAAAATGATGATGAGAATGACGATGAAAATGATAATAATGATGAAAATGATGATGGGAAAAGATTAATTTTAATCATGAACGATTTTTTATTTTTTAGGATTTTTTGTACTTTTTGCATAAAATATCATGTACTTATTCAAGTTACAGATCAAGAATTTTCCTTAATTTTAAAAACCGTATTTAAAAACCAAGGTACAGTGACAAAAGCTTGAATACGGAGGAGGGGGCGGCCGCCCTTCTTTACTCCTCCAAAGGGCACGGCCCCCTCTAAAAATTGTACAAGAGAAAATTTCAGGGCGAAAAAAAATATTAATACTTCCATAATGACAAATTATAATATGAACCCTGTAGAAAACATCCAAGTTGCGCTCCATTTGTATTTCTTAATTAAGTGGTTTTTAGAAAACTACAGAACTATTTTGAGTAATGTATACCAAATAAAAATAACATGTATTAATCCGGTGTCCGAATTTAATGAATTTGAGCCGCGTCTCTAATCCGACAAAAATCGGTTTCAATTTAGCGCCGGCTCAAATCTTGAAACATTAAATACAATTAAGTAGAACCAACAATATTTAAGCCGCGGCTCAAATTCTTTAAATTTGACCTTTGGGTTTCTTGTTCAAATCAGTTTAGTATGAAAGGGAAAGAAATAATTTATGAATAAAATGTAAATGCGGTTGATCTAACAGTTGGTCCTTGTTCCAGTAAGCTGGGAGCACGAATGTTAATATTTAGCTTTTTCTTCTAGTCTTTTGTGTTGGTGGATGAATTTTAAATAAAAAGTTTAAGAAGACAATGCCGTGAGTTGAAAGATTGTTAAATAATAGATTTAAACTCGATTTAGCCGCGGCTCAAATTCTTTAAATTTGACCTTTGGGTTTCTTGTTCAAATCAGTTTAGTATGAAAGGGAAAGAAATAATTTATGAATAAAATGTAAATGCGGTTGATCTAACAGTTGGTCCTTGTTCCAGTAAGCTGGGAGCACGAATGTTAATATTTAGCTTTTTCTTCTAGTCTTTTGTGTTGGTGGATGCATTTTAAATAAAAAAGTTTAAGAAGACAATGCCGTGAGTTGAAGGCTTGTTAAATTATAGATTTAAACTCGATTGAATTTTTGTGGTTTTAAAACTTCTAGTATTTCTTAACCTATTAACACAAATTCATATTTTTTTTCAATTGAATAGAGAAATATTTTTAGAAAGATTTACAGCTTTTAAAAATTGAAAAATGAAGATTTTAGTCCCTAAACAAAATTGAAATGCTTTAGTTAACACCCCTGGCAAACGTGTATTTATTTTACCCAGAGGAAATGTTTATTTCAATATATCAAGAACAACTACAGTATAGAGTAAAAATTACAAAAAATGTACAGAGATGGAATTTAAAGAATTGGAGCCGCGGTTTAAATCTGCCAAAACCCGGTTTAAATT